AAAATGTATATCGCGGCGTAATATTTTCCCAAAAAAACAAGTGTCGCAATCTTAAATGTTGATAATGAAGCTAATCGCATCCCTGAAAACATTTCCATTGGCAACGGAGCGTAGTGTAACACACACACAGACGCGACTGCCGGGCTGAGTACGGCACGCACACGGCGGCGTGCGGCGCGTGTCGTTACTATGCACTTCTCGCCTAGACGAAGTATCTATGTGTTCGGTTTACTATCGTAGTGCGGGGCGCGGGCGCGGGCGCGGGCGGCGCAACCGGGTCAAGGGAGCTCCGATGCACCGTTCGCGTTAAATCTCACTTTCGCGCGCTGCACCACAAAAGATGGCGGACGTAGTGACGCGCGGTTTCGTTCTCGTTGACACATTTTATGGTTTTCCGTTTTGTTTTCCACCCGTTCCGGCTACTTAATCAGGCCACTGGAGTGTGTTGTAACATTTTACACGTGTAGTGTAATTGACGAAACAAACAAAGTTATATCTATAGCGACCCAATATCCTTGTCCCTATTTCTTATTTCCTACGTCGAGTATCATGCGTAATCGAGATAGTAAGCTTATCTGTCCGTAGTGGCATCTTATCGCCGCACTACTATAATGCAATACACCGCTGGATATGATAAACAACAGATTTTATAATTTGTTTTTAATTCGACATAATTTTGATAAAGGGCGCGTCGTATCGAGGACATTAGACGCGTGGAATGTTGGAGCATTACGAATGGATATGGTAAATAAAGAAACTTGCTTGCGAATGCAAATCTGATACTAGATCCTTTATAAAGTGGGCAATCAAGATCACGCGTTAAGTGCTACAATTTCTACGCATTTCCTTTCCCACTTTCATAGCGCTCGATTTGCATGGAGAGACGTTATTCAGTAGTTCAGTACCGTAACTGTAGCGACGCGTGAAATTTTCAATTATGAAAGAGCAGCGACGCAATCAGCCGACGTCGTGTGATCGTAGACAAAAAACAAACAAATTATAAAGGTATGTTTACATGTAACCGCGACCGTGAATCGAATTAACGTCCGTTCGAGGCTGCACGTACTCCGACCTGTTGTTTCCTCAGACAAGGTTGGCCCAAAAAAATCTATCGCAACGTACAAACTTTTAGGACATGACTAATGGACAATGGCTTGCGAAACAGAATCGCCCGCGTTATCTGTATTGTATCAGCTGCCGATTCATGTAAATAGGTCTGCTGTACACCTAGCTACGCCTTTGATGCTATTCAACTGCTTTATTATCAAATTGAAAAGTTGCGTGCCAGCCAAAAATATTTATGTATGAATTACTTTTATTTCAATGCAATGGGAACTCTCAATGCTATTTAGAACGGGGACGAAAAAGTTTAATTTGTTTACAAAGCGCATATTTTGAATGTCCAAAGACTGGAGCTAGTGTTGTCCCATCACTAGCCTGTAGAGCGGTGAACGGCGCGTACGGTGCGCTGGCGTAGGAAGCGCGGGCGCATCGCGCCCTTCGCGCCCGTCTGACCCACTTAGCTGCCGCCACACTAATATAAACTGTTGTGATCGTATCTCCATCGTGCGCGTACGCTGACGTGTTGTCGCTGATAACTAAGGCTTCGTTATTGTACTACATATGACATTTTAGTTTATTTTCATTTGATAACGCCATAAAAACATAAACATGTATCGTTACAAACGTGTTTTTACCGTGTTTTCGGTTTGGTGAAGGAAATTTGGTGTATGTCTGTTGATACTTACGTTCGTAGAGCATAAATAAGTCCGCATCCAAATTTGTCAATCGGAAATAACTGATTCTGATGATCGGCGTCACATTTTGGGCAGACGGCGGTCACGGCGCGCGACGGTCAGTCCATGCTCCGTGACTCACGATTACATTGCGTAACTGAGCAACGCATGTCGCATTTGACTTAACATAATATGTTACGACAGGACAATATCTATTGTTTACTATTTACGAACCAAAATTGAGATGTGCTGCTTTTACTTGCTGAATAGAGTTTGAATCATCGCTTAACGATTCGCGAAAATGAATGAATTTATTTACTTAGGTATGTAGTTGTTACAGATTTAATTGTCATACTTATGTACTTATTCAAGTTATTTACTCGTATAACTTTGTTTATCTTGTTTTGTATCTACAAATCATTGAATCACTAGTAATGTAATGTACTTAAAACAAGTATTTACAAGGAAAAATAAATTTTTTTTAGCAAGAAACACGAGCACATCCAGTCCAGTTTCAGATGAAGTCTAAGCTGTGTCGATAGAAATGTGTTACCGACGGTAGCGCTCAGTTATTAAGTCTGGCAGATAAACATGTTATCAGCATTAATCGCGACAGTTTCCATTTCGCGGCGCGCGACCGCCACTTTCTTACGTTTCCCGCGCGCGGGGAAAGTGCCCGCGCTTTTCCGACGCCATCTTTGAAACTGCGCTCCCTTCCACGCAAGTTGCCGGTGCAACTACGAGTAATGAATACCTTCATAAACAACTGAAAGTTATTTTTTAAACTAAGTTTATTTATTTACTAAGAATTTTAAGTATTTGGTTTATTAATTGTAAAATAAAAAAATATTGAGATAGTTTAATAATTTTCTTACAAGTTAAAAAATAGGTATGTGTATGAAAAGACTGTATTTGTACAAATCTGCGTTACCTGTATCCTTTATTATTCCAAATAAATCGATAGGCAGCTAGTTATAGTTATGTATTCTGCGTATTAAAAGACACATCAATTACAAACAGTGGTCGCGCATACGCGCACACGAAGCCGTGATCAGAAATTTAACGTGACAACCAAGGATCTATACATTACTTGCAGACGACGATACCGAAATCGATTTTACGGAAAATAATTGATTTTAATTTACTTTTTAGAAGCATATAGCCGTGCGTTCTACTAACAGCACCTACATACATATCTATGTAGTAAAACAATAACTTTTATTTTGATTCAAATTTAAAGTATTGTGATTGCCACGACATGTTATGTAAAAGCGACACAATTATTGTAGCCATTTGCATAATTATTATCTCGCGATGTTATCCAACGAAATATTAAGTAGCTCGTCAGCGAACCAGTGTGGGTGCACGTGACTCTCTATAAAGCTCTAAGTAAACACACTCAGTAATCGCAGACAAATCTCAACGCTCCGTGGCAACAAAATATCAAATAATTTTATATAATTTCGTAAATACTTCAGTTTCTGTTATGCGGAAACTTGGCGACACTGACATCTGTCGTCATTTGACAAGAACTAATGAAATGAAAAGCTAAATGCCGGAAAATAGTTCATTTATCTTTTTTTTTCTAATCACTGTGAGTCTAGCTCGCTGTGTTCCGGGTTTGAAAAAACGCGATAGTTTTCTCTGTAGTGTGTGAAGGACGCTCGCTGGCGTACATGTATGCGTGCCTATGTCTGTGTGACCAGAAAACATACATTAGCAAAATGGGGCTGTTGATATTAGCAGCTCGATATTTACAATTCGCTATGATTTCCAAATCAGATTGATCAATATTGAGTACATTGAAGTTCAGTGAGTCATTAAAAAAACTCATTATTCACGCACACACACATACGTACATCCATCAGTACACTACACAGACAAATTGAGTAACATTCACTACATGGACTCACGTGAACCAGTAAAACGTGAGCTCTCTTAACTATAACCTTTAATAGCCCGCAGGGGTCACAAAACTGGATACCCGTCGCGTTGGAAATAGCATGGCTTCCCGGATGTTGCTCTGACGTCAGACATCTCACTAGAGATTTGCCGAAACCAATTGTCAATCTCAAAGTACCCTTATTTACAGATCCACAAAGTTCCATTTTCCCTGAGGTAAAAATATAGCCACTAACATCGTTTTGTAAAATGTACCTGAGTTATTAAATAAAGTTGTTAACGAACCGGATTAGGATTACTTAATTAATCTTTCATAGGATTAATTGTTGTAAATGAAAGGGCAAAAAGCTTAAGATCGTCCATACGCCATTAACGTAAAACCACAATGTGATTACACTGAATGTCAGTAGAAGCGAGGGTTCTCATTAAAACGCATATAACTTTGGTCCTCGATGTCCCAAATGACTTTATCGAATCAAAGCAAGTCGTATGCATTCGTAATATTTGTGGCGGTTTTCCTCAACATGTCCAGCTGTATTAGAACGGCACAAGTCATAGGAATTTCTCACGCGACATCTATCAAAACAAAATATATTTATTATTTTAAGCTGTAATACAGGCAAAATTATTTTAACGAACATTCAAAATCGCAAAGAGTGTGTAATCCTATTAAATTTAAGCTTACTAATTTACTAATATATTTATTTCTTAAGTAGTCATTTAGCATATTTTAATACCATTAACAATTTCATATCAACATCATCGCAACAACACAAGCCACGTCATTATTTAACAAATATGTTCCATTTCCATAAGACATGGTGCATCGAATCGCTGTTCATCTGTTACTTGGAGGGCATTGAATTCATTAAGGCTGACGTCACCCGCACCACGTGTATTTAATTTTATTATTGTACTATCGGCCACTTCCCTGCCGATGACCATATAGAACAAATGTATAATGATCAGTCCTAGGCACTTAGTAAAACGTGTACTTGAAATTCATATAGCATAATTCGTTACTCTTTAAAGTAAAAAAAAGATTTAACTCACAACATTATCCTCAAGAGTAAAGGAAAAATAAGTAGATTCTCCAAGATTAGAGACATATGTTTCAATAATGCAGTGGTAAGTCAGATTACCGGTGAGCCCGAGAGCTTACCGGCGACTGGCAGGCCGCCATTACTCCGCTCGTTACGGCAACTCCGAGGATCGCGGGGAAAAGGCCACGGGAAATCCGGAGCGACTTAACAAGAACTGTGAACGATGCGCCGAGAATGCAACCATGTATTGTACAAACATCGCACTCCGACATGTTAATGGTTTTGTTACGATGTCTACTTGATGTCAGTCATCTTCGATCTACGCGCCTACCACGGCAGGGTCGAGTGAAGTCCATGACTCCACCAGCACATTTAGCTTGCACCGCGTCATGTCACTTGGCTCCCAACAACTGCACATACAATAATTATAATTTTAGCAATTGTATTTTTAAATCGAAACAAAGAAATGCCACTTGCACAAACACCGACTGAAAGTTTCGTATATTTTTTTAAATGCGACAGGAAATAATTAAAACCGACGATTTACGTTCATTTAAGAAATATGCGCTTTGAACTTTCGCGCTCGCGACATATTTTACGAGAAGCGCAAATGATTTTATGCGATGGCTAATATTAAAATGATTCAAGAATGTTGCTTGTTTCGTACTGCCTCATTATGTGCCTGATACAGTCGCTGCAAACGACCAGAGGAAACCATTCTCACAGAGTAAAAGAAAATCGCGTTGTATCCACCGCCAATCTTTCCGCTTGGACGTAACGGTCGCAGGAGAAAAATCCAATTAGAAATAATTCCATGAAACAAATCTGAAAAGCTCGTCGCGCTCGGCCCCAACTGTTCAGTTCGCAACTATACAAGTGAAGTAATTCCAACAAATTAGCGCGTCTATTTAGCAACACCGCAGCGGACGTTCCCCTATTCATAAAGAGACAACACACAAGTTCAGTTTAATCCAACTGAGCACAACTTTTACTTTCCTGCTGCGCTGAAATATTAACAAACTTGCATAAGTTATGCAGCGCCCCCTGCCGGCTGCCTCCTTGGCGGGGGCTGGGGGCTGGGGGCTGCAGGTGAATGCACGGGGTGTGCTCCCCGGCACCTCTATTATTCGAGCTGGAGCTACACGCGAAATATGCTCGCTATGTGTTGCTCCGGTGCAACGTTCCCTTTAGCTCCGTCGTTCTGTAGGAAGCTCGTGTTTTTGACCCCACCCGCTACATGTATAATATTTTGTTTTAACATTTTATGATTAAACACAAAGGAAGGTTTGCAGCAGACAGAGGTTCATAGCATTCTCTTTGAATATTCACGTCCCACACACTCCGTGCGGTGTGTACGATGCATTACAACGAAAGCTCGTCTCTATAGTTCGCTGGGCAAATGTTCATCGTGCTTTTTCTCATATACAAATTAATTTCAATTTCTTCGCATGAAACAGATATACTCTTGTATTTTTTATGTGTACTCATCATATTAATATTTAAAAACAAACTTGAACACTAAAACACACTTGCTTTAGTGTCCAAAACATAGGACATAGCAAAACTTAGGTTTTATTAAGACTATTTCTTATGCTGGGGCAGCCATTTTGGTACCCAAATTGTAATTTATTGAGTGGCCGCTGCCGGTGTCCCGCTGTACGCACTACATAACTTACTGAACACTGTTATTGATTACTTTATTGAGAGAAAACTCCACAACATCTGCCGTTAATTAAACATTAATTATTTATATCTTCAATATTGGCTGAGCAAATATGTGCTATTGAATTTCGGAAATTGCCGTAGGATATTGAAGGAAGTGGATCCTTTGTAATCTTAGGGCGGACGCTGGATGACGTCATCTCTCGCCCGACTATCTATGGATCTCTCACAACTTGATCCGAGATAATCGCTCCGCGCTTTACAAATATTCGCAATAAACACTTTGTTGACTATCGCTGAGCCGTTGTAGCAAGTCACGTTCGAAGACAACTCTCTGCGAGTGAGGAAATTTACAAGTTCAGCTGAAAGTGGCAAGGGGTGAACTGAAACAACAAGAAGGCTTCGCAAACTAAGTTGTGCGCTGGTTAAAAATAAGTGGTTGTAGGAGCTCGCTGGAGTTAATAGGCCGGGAGCTGGGACGCGGGGCTTCAGTGCGTCCTACTTTTGGTCTACTACTGTGTTTTTGTTTGCCCTGCCAGGGTCAGTGACCCTGCAGCCTGAATGCTTGGAGTAGGTATGCACCGCCAGCCCCCGCACTGAATAATGCAGGCAGCCGCCGCGGGCGACACGTCCGGGCCGCTTCATCCCCAGTCGTCGCGGTGCTACCAATTTAATTGAATCCTCTCCGACAGAGTCCCACGTAGTCGTATTTGTATGCTCCGTGACTCCAGCTATCAACATGGCACTGTTTTGAATACTGTTTTCATTGTTATCTCCCTCGATAACGGGTGACATTTATTCTGTTTTTATGTCCCTCCCGATATTGTGTTCAGGAACCTTCCACATAAACATAATCACGTAATACGTGCACATATCGCAAAGTACGAGTTGTGCAAATCCAGTATGTATGCAGAGCACCTCGCTCAGTTAATGCTGCGAGATGTTAACCCCCCACCAAGCCGCGCCGGCGTCTAATCCACTCAGAGCTTTGTCCCCGTTCCGCCGCCAACTCCCAGTCATTTCAAACTATTTCCAATGCACTTGTTTTGAATTTCACTTGCAATTTGATCAATCTATTTCGTGAGGAAAACAAACTGCTCACGTACTTATTATACGAATATATGTACATATGTATACAATGAAAGTATTGCAGTGCTTCACTACATAATTACTTGCAGTGTGTAGAGTAGGTAACTATATGATACTAAGGTGTCATATATATTAGTAGCGTAAGTAAGCATTCTGACCGGACATTAATTTATACGTAGGTATGTAGATGTGTTGCAAATATTAGTACGCCGCATAGCGTCACCGCTGGAGATACAATTACATCATGCTGTGACATTTACTGGTGATCCTTAAATACTTGGACCCGAAACTGTAAAATCGCCAAGTGGTGGCTCCATGAATAGCCGCATGCAGCGGGCGGCGCGGCGTCGCGTGACTGCGGGCTGCCGAGCTGAACATTTGCATTCTCCTGATAGCTGCTATCACACACCGGCTCACATGTGCCCGGGCTGTAAAGAGTTCAAATTCCGTCTAGACACTTCGACCTGAAAAACGAAAGGGAAAGCTTTCATCCGTCCCGCTCTATGCGTCAAACATGCGCAGTGCTCGCCGGGGGTAGAACGAGACAACAGGTGGGTCCGTGAATAATTTAGGGGGTTGCGGGGGCCCAAGGTCGGCGCACGGAAGCGTCTGGCTCGGATGTAGCCAGATTATATACAATGTTATATCGATTTTGCGGTAATTTCCCTGGAACATGCGACCTCCCGAAACTTCTCGAGTACTCTTTAATGATCTAAAGTTCGGATGTAACTCGATATTGAATTATTCTTAAGCATCGGCAAACTCTTCTGACTTCTTAGTTATCAGATTCAACCATCAGTAGGTACCTATCCAGCTTTTCGATATGCGATACAGTCGTGACATATACTCATATAAATTAACAAAACGTGTCATTAGACAATTAAATAAAATGTGTAACCAGCGCGCTCGCTTTATGGCCTCTGTTAGCCACAAATCATTTGCTGGCATTTAGAACCACACTACACACCGTACAATATACAATGTACAAATTTATTAAAACTCTAAAACTCAGCAGCAGTATCTGATCAATGATCTCCGTGCTAATTATATAAATCAATCGATCCATTTTATTACATCTTGTATTTTACGACACGGCCTACATTGCCGGCACTACAATAAGTAAAGTTTCAACAAGCTATAAATTTAGGAAAGTAGCTCGTCTAACAAAAAATCTAGGGCTTTTTTAAGAAATCTGGTGTATAAATCGTTTCTGTGGAGGCTAGCAGGGCTCACACGCATACTCGACATTATTCCACATACATAAGTGATGAACAGTTCGAAACAAAGAGTTACAGAGCCGCTGCCGGCGTACGAACTTCTAGAACAGTCGACAGCGCGGACGACCTCCCCAGGGTACCGTCCACAAGTTTTATCTGAAGAAATTTTGATAAACGAGCTTCTAAGTTGTCTTTTCTAGACGTTAAAGACTAAAACCCTTTAGCGTCAGAGCTGTCTAGCGCCGGCCCGCGCCGCTACACTTAAACATGTTTTGCTTTTATATTACAAGGTGAGGGTTGTCTCCACTGTCGGTGCTGGTTGTATGAATCAGAGACGAAAGAAAGTCACCACGATAAAATGAATAAGTGCGCATAGATTGATCAATGCTTAGCTCATCTGAATGAATCATGTTTGGGGAATTCACCTAACTCTTTGTGTTACCTGTCTTTCGTTTGCTAAATGTGCATGTAGTGTTGAAACAGCTAGTAATTGTTGTGTGTAACGTGTGTGTATCGTTGTTGCAGTGGACGGCGAGCCGGCCGGCCTGCCGCTCAGCACCCGCAGCTCGCTCAGCCGGGCCCTGCTACTGCTGGCCCCTGGCCCCACCGCCAGGCATCATCTCTACACAGCCCCTAACACAGGTAACCTATCATACGTACATAGTCCTAGAACAAGAACTTCTTTCAGAAAGTTTTACTTCGTAAAATGATGTATTTGACATGGTCATCAATACTAAGCGTGTACAAAATCTATGTTTAAAGTCAAAATTAGTCACTAAGCAGGAAAAGACAAAACGAAATCTTATCGTTCCATACAAGTAACGTCCTGGCTAGATAGCTATATTTAGAATTAGATATTACACCTGAGCGATGGACGTATCGAGCATGAAATACATTTTTAGCACATCGCGAGTAACACAGTGCGATAAACGAATGTAACAAAGAGAGAAATTATGAACATTTGAAAAGAATCTGGCGGCTGCTGGAGCTCGGTAATTACCAACATTTCGAGTGTTACGTACATATTTCGACATTTCCTACCGAGGTACGTACATCTTATATTGGTTCACAGCGGAAATTACAGACTGCTACATTGGATATTAAACATCAGTAGGTCCCGGGCTCAGAGGTCGGCGCGACCGCCAACTTGCGATAACATTTTATTTTGCGACAATTTTTTTGCACAAACTTGTCATTCCGCGGTTCTTTGACTAAAATAAGCATGGCTATTATACTGATAATTATTACCTAACGGTCATTACTGTATTATTATAATCAGTTATTAATCAGCCAATTGAATCTGGCTTGTGGCACGACTGTCATAATTTGATAAAAATAAATATGTAATGAACGAGGGATGGTCTTGTTTTATTTTGACTTAAACTGTAGCCAGTTACGTAAGCTGTACGTTGTGTGGTGCTGTGTGTAGTGTACTTACATTTGCACAGATATCTAAGGGACAATACTGTAGAGTCGGGAGGTAATTTCCGGAGCGGACCAGCGCCCTATCAACCGGTATTATGTCATATGAAATTCATTTCAATTTCCCTCAACACATTTAATTTGACTACTTTCTTGCTTTATACTAAACAAAAGGTAGAGAGGATCGACTGTCTAATGTTTGTTTTTCAAAAATTTAAATTTAAGCATTCTGCCAATTGAATAAAATGGCCACTTGCAGTTATTTTGTCGTTTTATCAATAACGTATCGAGTGATGCGACGGGTCTGCCGTCCTAATCTAATCGCTACGGCTGTAATCCTCTAGTGACGTGATCAAAGATAGATTACTGCTATTCTTAAAATGTTTTTATTATTATTTACAAATCTCTAATATTATTTCAAACGATGAACTGTTATTACACTATTTATTCACTGTTGAGTTCGTGTTCATTTATTTGACACTAAGTAACGCACCTACGTTACTTAGTGTCAAATAAATGAACAATGAACCTAAAAATATTTTCAGTCGCGTGCAAATACAGGAAATACAATTGTTATTTCCTGTTGACAAATCATTCCGTAATACGCAAGAAATATGTCATATGGAAACCAAACCGAGCCTTTATCGTGTAGCAGCTCTTATAAATAGAATTTACTGTTAATAATTACATGTGTGCTATGCTAGGGGTGAAATACAGCTACGAATCCTAAACGATATTTCTAAATACTTAATATTCTTCTTGGCCCTTTTTGTTAGAAGAAAGTATTGTAAGGATGTCTTCCCCAACATACAGCGGTGTGTGAAGGGATCCGTTACTATCTAATATTCGTATCGCTAGATTTCTGAAAATGTCGCGGAAACCTCGCAGGAACATTTCATTTATTTGTTAAACATCTCTTACGTAGACTGTTCAAGAATTCTGTTTAGCACGAGTAGGCAGTCTGCGCTGAAAGCTGAACCTGTGTTAAGCCGAACAGATACAATATGTAGGCATAACATATGTATATATATTTAGATACGTGTAGGTACACGCCGGCCTCCTGCACGCTCTGTCTGACTCCAGCCACCGCAACTCGTGTACCGAACTAATGCTTACGGTTGCTTGATTATTAATATTAACATTCATTAGCTCAGTATAACGTACCTATATCAGACGAAATACATATATAAAGAACTTTCCATTATTTGATCAATAACTAAATCCGAAGAAGTATGATCATCCTCAAGACAATAAATTAGTATGCAAATATGAAAAGTTGTGAAACAAAAGTAAATTATAAGTATAGAATAGTGTCAAGGGAGCGGGCGTCATAACAAAACTTACGATCGCCGACAGCCAGGCTGCTCCATGAAAAATTCATAAAGAACAAAGAGGAAGTGGCGGCCGGCAATCGATAGACGCGTCAGCTGATCCGCCCGCCCAATGTCACGACCGAGCCGCGCGGCGAGACGCCCGCCCTGCCCCCACGCACACACGCACCGCCCGCCGCCCGTACGCACACGCCGCGCACACACCGCGCCGCCACTCCGCAACAGACGCTAGCGACAGACGTGACTCTCTCTGGAGACACATCGCAAACAATTACTCGGCTGTACCGCGTCTGGTGCACCCAGCCCACAACCTCGGCTAATTGATACACGTACAATTACCGACACTACTTACATAGCTATCTTTGTGTTCAAATTAACCCATCTCACTTACTGTAATGTAAGTTGATTCAAACGGACCAAGCAACAAGTTTTCCATACAAGTTTCCTTACGTTATAAAATTCAGTTTATTCGAATATAAAAACTTGTAAACAGTCTTATATTTACCAATGTTGTCGTCAGCCCAATAAGTTTTTTAATTAATATCTGATTGCATTCCCAGGTCGAAGTGTCCGACCCAGTTCGAAAACTAACAAACTTTTGTTATAACGAGACAATTAAAACTAAATCCAAATCGAAAACATTTGTCATCGTTATAAATGTGTAACACAAAACCGGGGAGTATTGTATGTACATATATTGTATATAGAAAATGTTTCGAAGTGTTGCTACCTTGTGTAAACAACTTTCGCTCTCTGTCCACCCCTTTTTGCGTCATTGAGCGCAGATGGCCAAATCTCATGGACACATTTGACCCAAAATGTGCACTTAACCCCCCAATGCGTGCGGGCGGATTGTGTCGCGAACAATAAATAATATTTATTGAAAGGGTTACTCAAAGGACTGTAATTACACAACGCGCACTGCTTGACGGATTATGTCATGATTCGGTCACTTTCTGTTGCACAATGTTTATTTTCGAACCCAACTCACAATTTCGTATGCTGCATGCAACGCCACCGATTTGGGGAGATATGAATAATCGTTTTATTGTGTGCTCAGAATGCAAGCTCGGACATAAGTGATATGATATTGACAATATAAACTGCATGTGCGCGGGAATGAACTCAATATCATATTTAAACAAAAAAATGCGAAATCCTAAAATCGTTCGGCACCTTTGAAAGCTCAACCCTTACAAAGCCGCCAGTGGGTCACTGAGACCCGTCTATCCAAACATGCAACATCCTAAGCAAACAATGAACCAGGCAGATGGTTGCACACATTGCGCCACTCACTGTCACATTTCCAAAACGCCAAGTTTTACGCAAAAATGGGTTACATTGCACCTTGCACTGCGAAATCGCAGCGTCATCCATCACAATAGCCGCTAATCTCGAATGCTGTCTCATTTCAACTCGTAGCTTCATCTCTTTCATCTTTTCAATTTGCCCCGTAGCGGCTTTCCGGAGCTATTGACACTTTGAAATTAGAATGTCACGCGTGGGTGCGCGAACGCAACCCATTGTCGGTATCAGTATTGTGTGTGGACTCGATTTGCAATCGGCGAATATTGTAAGGGTTAATTATAATGGCTTGCATACGACAAAGGATGTGCGCCTATTGTCGTCATCTGCTTGTGTGAGCCGAGTTCATAGCACCTTGCTACGTGTCGGATTTTACGATTTCCTCTATTTATCTACATAATTGAGATAGCAGCATTATTTCTTGATTTCACGTAACATACCTGATAAGAAGAAAAGATAAATAGAAGCTAATCACTCTTTTCCTGAACTTGGATTACAATATCTCAAATATCTTATACTTACAATATTGCAAATTCGCATGAGCAATGAGATATAGTATCGTTTCCGAGCGGTATCTGGTCGTATCAGGCAGGTAGCTCGGTGCGCCTGTACCTAAGCGTATGTACGCGTCTATGTGGACAGCTTGTAACTGCTCTAAACGATATAACGTCATTGCGATGTTATTCTAAGCTGAATTACCATCTTAAAGGAGACCACTCACAATGGACGCTTACAAAGGACACCAAAAGATACTCTGTGTGATCACGAGTTTCTTATTTTAATAATATTTTAGGGAACCTGTTTGATGAATGTACTTGGCTGACAACTAGAAAGATACATCTACACTGAATTTGAATTCATTAATTGAATTAAATTAAAAACTCTTCTAATAATACTTTGTTTTAAGTAAACACGTATAGAATCAGTGCAAACGTCACTTTCTCATAATGTATCCCAAGTTATTATTTGAAGAAAACAATGAATTAATTTGAACAATAGTTCATATTGTATCGTGATGTAACCGCTGTAGTGAACACTTCTAGCAGCCAGAGGACTTGGATGTCCATAACTCACGAAAACATACCGTCTCACACGCCACGTGTAGCAGATACATTCGTCGTTAGCGGCGATCCGTTACATAACAATATATATATTTACCACACAATATAATTCATATGCAAAAAATGGCGACATCTAAGACAGGACTTGGCGGATTATGGTGTAACGCCAGCCGGCACAAAGGACCATGAACAGCGGTCACTCCATAAAGATGGCCCGATTAAGGAAGGGTCATCATTGTGATATTTTACTAATGGGACCACATTCCTCGCTGACCGGTAGACCAGATCCGGGACAATCGCGACCCCCGGTCTATAAGGCCACGCTCATTATTTATAGTTAATTTATTATTATTTTGATACGGGAGATGAAAGGGTTAACACAATAAGCTCGTATTCCGTGTTCCATATATGGCCGTTGGTCACTCGTGTGTCCGACGCGACGTGTCAACCGGAATGGGGTGCCAAACCTTTTTGTTTAAGCTTGGGAACTTCCAGTCGGAGGCGCGGACGTGCGGCCCGTCGGATTAATTAACATCGCAGTATCTATAGCTACGTGTTATGCAAAATAATATTGTATTTAAATAGATAATGGACGCCGTGTAGTATAGGTACTACATTTTACCTGTTTTTGAAGGCGAAAATAGATATGGTAGTTAATTAAATAAATATTTAGTAGGATATAGGTACTCAAATAAGCTGGCTGCATTTTCCCCTTATATTTTAAATTAGATAACAAACACCGGTGATTAGGCTAGCTGTGTGCCCACTGCCTGAAACCGCAGTTCTACCCATTACAACACACTGGGTATAACTGATCAACTTATAAATTAAGGACAAACAAAATCAAACGCCAAAACGGGTTGCAGTAGTTGCATCGTATTTGAAGGTATTCTCGATTTAAATGGTCAAAGTGACCGAGCCCTCGCGATCGCCGCTTCCCGATTCCCATGCATTGTACGTACCATTGAAGGGTTAACAATGGACACAAAGGGGTGTGGACAGCGGCCGGCGTGCACCGGTCAAATGGTCACTTTATACCAGTCATAGTTTCAATGGACGAGGAAATATGAATAAACAGCTTTCTACTATTACTTGTTCGTTGATTATATTATTTAAATACCGGACAACCGTTACACCTTTGGGGACCCGGACATGAGAAAGTTTGTCCCTTCAACTACTGCACTACTAGAGCCACTCCATGCACAGATTAAGATTTTTTATAACTTTTACTATTAACAGCATAAGAAAACGATCCCCGACATGAAAGCATTCTTGGACTAGTTTTATCCACAAAATAATTATTGCAGCTTTTATCTGTATTTTATTGTTGCATTTTTAAAAAGCTGCACTCCGCGTACATAAACTTGATTAATTAAAATACACCTCAAGTAACGGTCAAACTGACTGACTATTGTTCAAATTCAAAACATTTTTGTAACAAGTAGATATTATGCAAAAGATATAATTACAAGAAAACATCTCAGAACAGCAAACTGCATCACCATAAAACCATAAATTACCCTTTTGTAAACCAAAACAACTTCGCATTAGAAATGCAAAAAAGCCGACCCCTTCACCTATTGTGCCGCTTCAATAGTAAAAAATGTGCATAATTGTGAGTTATCTAAACACGGCAACGGGTTCGCGACGATCCCAGCGCTGACCATTCTCACAACAAACAGGTGGACGCAAATGCATCTGAGAAATTTGCCTCTAACGGTTAATCTCATAAAGTGACCGTTGGGCCTCAAAGACCCCGTGGAATTAATTGCATTTGCAGGGTTGCAAGATGCAAATATATGCAAGTCAGGTGACCGTTAGTATAATAGGATGATGGTCCTTTAGGAATGTAATTTAATAACGACTATGCATCCCTCGAGATTAATTATACTTTATCAAATATTGCGCAACCAGAGGAGAAGGTTCACACGACCTAGGGCTCCGGGGCAATCTGAGCTTTATTTGTGGCTGTCCTACAACAATTGACGATGACAGTTGCTTGTTCTTATCTCTATTGAACGTGTTAATGATTAATGAGTGCAGTTAGTTGTTACATTGTGAATGATTGGTGTATTTCTTCGCAGGTTCCCTCCCCCCCTCGCCGGCAGATAGCGGCGTGTCTGACGTGGAGTCGTCCTCGTCGGGCGCCGGCTCTGCCGAAGAGCTAAAAGCTCGCCTGCAGCCGCCCCCTCCCGCGCCCTTCCACGCGCCATTCCTGCCCTTCTACCAGCACCACCAGATCGCCAACACGCTGCAACACCACGCCACCGCACACCCCAGACCACCAGGTACGTCATATTCCAATACCTCATACAATAATTCAATATTTGTACTATTGAACACAGTAGGTACCTCGAAGGCTTAGCGACAAATCGTCGACTATGCAGGTAACATTATACTACAAGCTAAAATGAAAATGACAAATCAAAGACATCTGGGCGATAAAATAAAAGGAAGCGACGTGCTAAATATTTATAAGTGTAGTCACATCCACAATATGAGTGTCGAACTTGAAAAAATGTAAAGAAGCAGTTTGTTATTAAAAATAGAGAACACAGCTAGTACGGTGCGCGGTGCAGCGAGCGATGGAGCGCCGCGCGGAGCGCCTGTAGGTGACCGCGCGGTGAACGCCCCTCCCGGAAGGTCACCTTACGAACTGCGTACGCGCAGGGAATTCGGGGGAAGCGAGACCTAATAGTTTTGACACTTTTCATAAATTCGCAACAACTATCAAAACATCGTACTATTTAAAACACAGTTATGAGTGCAGATCTTAAAATAGATCAAACATAAACAACGAATTCAGAAGGCGGGTGAACAACGCTAGGTGACACATTCGTTCAGTCAAAGAAATACAATAATAACGGGATTATTGTTTATCATTTAACCAGAATACAAGTTTTATATTTAGCGCAGCCATACCTACAAATAATGAACAAGTACGAACTTCTCAGAATTGTGTCGTAGGCAATTCATTGAATAATATTACCGCAACTTTGTTTACTATATTCGACGCAGGAACCATGTTTACCGAATGCTGCGCTCCACTACCGACCTGTGGAACTCCATGTCTTGGTGGGTGGAGACTAGGGACGTATATTATTTCCTTATAGATTGTAACAACATAATGACTTAAAGGGTTCGTTAAAACATCGTAATAAGGATTAAAAACAGTAGTATACTTAGCCATTTCACCAATTAGTATATGTAGCGTTCCTTGCGCGACTGTGTGACCTGTGTGCGTGTGTGTGTATACTATATACATACAAACACGTAGGTATGAGGCGTTCAGCTTTATCTCACCACTTCCGGGGGCGTGTGCACTGCACCCTGGCCGGTGGCCAACTGGCCTTCTTTACAAACTTTGAAGTGTATCGTTAAATGCACACATTATTTTGATGGCCCCCAATAATTCACTCTCGCAATTGTTTCAATTCTCAAGAAACACTTTGTACGGTGATCGTTTTCGGAAAAAAACAAAGCGATTAATTACAGGCTTTCCTGCGGGCGCTAAACTCGTCCATCGTTTGATATGAGATCAAATCCGGTGACAAACAAAATATAAAATAGAAGCAATAAGAATAAAGTTGTGACTGCATTAAATCACGAGACAAAAACACGGGAAGTACGATTAATCACAGCTTGTTGTTTATTTTTGCGGGTAATGTCATACATAGAGCTGGAGAAGAAGCACGCTCAGCGCTCACGCCGAGCTCGGCAACATGAGCACTGCCACTACTGGCAGCGCGAAGCCACTTCCTCTGCACAGCTAGGAGCCGTTCCAAGAAATATGAATGTTTAAATCGATAGATGTGTAGAGATGCCGGTTTCCATGACACAAAAACGAAAGAAGCGACTGACGGACGGAACCAGTTGGCATGTCGTTGCATCGGGCATTTATCGCGAGTTGGCGCTCCACGCCCGTCCTCAGCTATTTGACATTGCGCAAGGTCAGTGCTCCTAATATAAAGATGCAAAAAACTATAGTACCGAGTACCGGCGCGCAGTATGCGAGTCGCGTCGCCCGCGGCGACTGCCGGTGCATGCGAAGCGACCACTTTCGATTGTGTCGCATTTTAAAAATGCCTTGTAGGTATACAACGAATTCCCCGACTAGGATCCTTTGTCTTGTGAACGGATGTATCAAACCGTAGCTACCAATATGGTAATTTGGCGCGGCGTGACACAGTTACCCGCCGCAACACTTCAGCGATAACTCAATGTGATGCGCAGGGAAATGAGCAATACACAAATACACATTCTGAAGGACCTACTTATACTTTTTACTGTCAAATTCCTTTATTGACCACATTGCATCCTTTGTCTTGTGAACGGATGTATCAAATCGTAGCTACCAATATGGTAATTTGGCGCGGCGTGACACAGTTACCCGCCGCAACACTTCAGCGATAACTCAATGTGATGCGCAGGGAAATGAGCAATACACAAATACACATTCTGAAAGACCTACTTATACTTTTTACTGTCAAATTCCTTTATTGACCACATTGCACAGCGAGCAGTTCATAATGAAAAAAACATAATTTTAGTTGAACGTATAGACAAGCGAATGTTTAAACGTGGAGGAAAACTAAAATTAACCATTATTTAGAAACAACGTCACGAGCTGTTTATTTACGTATTTATTGTTGTGTCGCTGCAATATGGTAGCAAAGAGGATAAACGTTATGAAAAACAGGCAAAACCGCATAAGAAAATGTTGATATACATAGTTACATACCGACACTGACTAATTTGTTGTTACAATACGCCGCGATAACGAGCCATGAATGAAGTCTCCGGCCTGAAGAGGACATTTAACGTCTCATTTTACCTTATGAGCTTATGCAATATATGCACCGGCACGCATTCTGGTCACAGGCCAAGACCACGAGTGGGCCTCAGACGGACCGCTGTACCCGCTGTAGTATTGCGGCAGTGCCGTGTCAGGCCAGAGGTAGGTGTGCGCCGTAAATCGGCCATTGCTGTAATGCGGCACACACGAAATTTCGGTGTTGCAAACGCGAACATTGGGCAAGAGCGGCGGTGCCGGCGCCATTGTCAGCCTCTGGCGAAACGTACGCGACCTTCCTACTCGGATTGGGCAGTCCAAACCTGATTGTGTGAGTATGTGGCGGCGCTCGATTTCAATCAACCAGTTTCTACAAATATATGTATCACACACACAAAATAGGACCTCGTTGGCTGTAGCCGTCCAGTTAATGCCAACAAACAATTTAAACAATAATCTGTATACTATTTCCTATATTAACTTTAATTTCAATGAGTGCAGGTTTTCTTCAACTCGCAATAATAAAATTAATTTACCAAAAAGTTTGTTTGATAAACAATCGACACCAGGATCCACAAGATTCGACTCTATATGAAACTTTAGTAGAACCAACTTAAGTAAAACAATAGAAACCTTGAGTGGATGTTGCCAATTGCCAAATTGTGCTGATGTAGGTAGCACGAAACTTGGTATTCGTATGCGTGCGAACATCGAGAGTTGGTTTTTGAATGCGGTTCAGTTGTGCGAACTGGTTGCGTCACATTATGCGGGCGGAGTAGCAGAATGCATCACTTGAGAGCTCAAACTGACAGATCACCAAACGTTGCAGACGTCGAGCTGGATCAGTTTAATCTAAATTAAATAAACAAGTTACATACATATCTAGGACGCGTCGTGCTCGTGCCTCACTTCGCTATCAATCTATACATCCGTTTATTGGTTGCGAGATCACGATCTACGGACAGGATATTATAACTTAACATACTTACCTATACATAATCACACTATAAAATATAGAAATGACTCCTTAAACCAATATTATTAAAAACTCAGTTTAATCAACAGTTTATTATCTCGTTCCGATTGCCGAAGGAGCACCATGAAGTCGAGCGGATTGTAATTAGCTTCTGTTAATGGAGATGCAAGCAGTGCAGTGGCGGTGCGAGCTATTCGAGCATTCAAGCCTCGCAGTAAACATAGAGATGTCAATGTGACATTTGCAAACGAAATGGAAATTAAAACGATGGCGCGGTGTGTATTCTGTATTGTGCAGCGCGCTGCATCGCGATAAGCGGCGCGCGTGTGTGCGTCTAACATGGGCGCGTGTCGGTGTGTGGCGTGCGCGGGAGTGTGCGCGAGGTGATCGTCCCGTTTCAAGGGCAGTGCAGCGCTAGCGCTTGCCTCGTATTAATAGTTGGCGACTATTTTCGCCTCGCCGACCGCTGGGGGGACCGGAACGTTATTATTGACATTCGCAAACTTCCAAAATGGATTTACTACCTTACATCACGCGACCACGCGGTGACACGACGCTTTCCGTCGCCGTCAATCAGAGAGCTGTTGGAATCTAGGTCCTGACTAACTGGACTCCCATTATAGATTTTTAAATTTTTGAATCAAATTATTGCACAACATGCGGTTAATTCATTTAAATTACGATAAAACTTAAAGTACCTATTACTCCAGAAAACTATTAGCAATGATGTAAATGCCAATCGGTTTTCGTATTCACCCGCAGACCTGAATCATCAGATGGTTTTATTTATTGATTCGAAGTAAACTTACATAAATGAATCTAGTGACGTGACATAATTTGCTCGGCAGACTGACTAGAGGCAAGTCTTTAATTACATTAGCATGGCCTGTCATTATCCTTTCCCCAATTGGATTTCAATTAGTCTCAATTCTCTCTGTGCTCGTTCTTGAGGTCGCTGTGACGTCATCGTATAAATCCTAAGCTACCAGCGACGGAACCAAATAACTCGGTTATGCGATCACGGCTACAAATATAATGTTCTTGCGGTTAGAAGGCATTCTAAATCCAGAACAAACGCGATTACTTCTAAAAAGGGATTTCTTTGTTTTTAATCGCTCCGTTTACCGTAGCCGTATAAGGAAGACGCGACGCACGCCATCTGTCGTACGAAAAACGGTTGCGCAACCGCCGGCGACCCAGTTGCGCGCTGCGGCCCGCGGCCGCTGCCAAACGCGCCTCGACTCCTCTACAATTACATATTTCGGTGTCGCAACAGCGCGGTCGCATCCGAGTTGAACGGCCCGCGACCTTGAGTGTTGCGCAGCGCACGCCGCACGCGCCACCGAAAGCGAAAGGAGCCACTTACCATCCCGGAATTTGCCATAACTCATCCCCGTTAGGTCATGGTGCGTACGTGACCCGCGACCTGTCGCCTATAGCTTCCACTAACCACAATCGACTGGGACTTAGGGAAGCTATGAATCACGCGCAGGCGGCGACGGTGGTGCGACGGTTGTGCGTCACCTTCGCGCGTTCCGTTTCACACGCGGCTTCCTGCGCACGTTTCGCAACACATCTTGCGCGCCGAATGGCGCAACAGCCGCCATCTTCCCGCTTCCGAAATACTCAGTACGCCACATATCGAATCGTGAACTCGGAAAATCAGTCGCGACCCAATTCTGCGCGATGAAATCTCAGCGCTCCACTTGTCCGGAAACCTCGTACGCTTCTTTTACGATAGGTATAAAAACAGAAGGGGCACTGTGTCCAGGCGGCCTACATACTCGGTCCGATGGTTTCCTGACTGTTTAAAATTATCCGCTCGTCCCCGGCGGAGCGGCAAAAGGCTCGCCCTTCACGGACCACGGCCGCCCCTGTCAGGCCGCCACTCTAAATAGCATAACTTCATAACCGGGTCGATTATCGCGCGGCGGGTGGCTCCAGCGGTGTCCCGCGCTCGTGGCTCGCACTCGCTATCCTTGTGTTTATGCGTCGCGAGCCTAACCGGGTCAGTGTTAGGTCGCATAGCGCTGCATAAATAGATGCGTCGCTCCCCGTTGCAGCGCAACGCGCTCCTCCACTGGCCGATATCAAATATTTCGCAATGTGTTTACGCGCGCCCCACATGCCCCGTGCCAAACCGTCGGATTCCACGGAATAGTAGCGTTGCAAAACCGCGGCTTCATATAATAACGTCAGCATCGCTGTCAATGCTGGAGTCCGCCGCCAGCCGGCACCGTGGGAATATGGGACGGTTAAATTTAGTCGATGGACTCTTTTCGAAACACTCGGCTTTGTAATATAAGCTACAAGCGGTTCTATTTCTTTATCAAATACCATTTCACGTTGTCATTCTTTGCACAGCTATTTTCCAGATCGAAAGTTGAAACTATCCAGTTAGTTCACACCACTTAATAACAGACGGATGCCTATCCTTTAATCGGTCCCTTCAGCAGAAAGAAAAGCCGCCGTCATGTTGACGTCCGGGGACATCCCTGCGGGTCAATTACGTGTAACAATAGTTGCTGACTTAGACGACAATACAAATCGATAAATTAAGTAAAAAAGTCGTTCCGACCTGATTGGTGGCAAGTCAGGGTCGCGTTGGGCAATACGTTTGATGGAAATCAGCGAGGCCTTGACCGCCGCGTGCGCCCCTCAACCCGCTTTTTATGGCCATCGTCTTGGCGACAAAATGTTTGTAGCACATGATTATAGCATTATATTTCATAACAAACTGTTTGTTATGTCAAAAAGGAACCGCCGGTGCAGCGCGCCCATCTGTTGTCAGTTGTCGTTTTACTCTAATTGGAATCAGTTCGTACCGTTACCATTAGAATGAAGATAACCAATATACTTGGGATTATATGACCTACTTGATAATTCTTGTTACCGGCACCCAGTCTGCAGGTCTGCATCGGCTGAACTAAGATCACGCTACTCGCTAGACACTAGAACAATACCACTCCATCTCAATATGTATTCAGGCCGTACCCACAGCCGGATATACTTCATAACCGGAAATCAATATTAGAGATGAGCGGAAGGCGAAAATTCGCGCGCGTCACGCAACCGACGCAAGCGCAGCTAGTTTTGTTTATCGATCATAAATTAATACTAGCACTCAGTAATTAATTAACATTATAATGTACAACAATACATGTAGATACTTATCTATGCTATATTTATACTGCTATACCTGTGTTTAATGCATTCTAGTTACTAATGCGTTGGTTTTCCTTCCTAATACTGTTAATATTTTACTCGGTACATACCTACATTAAATTTTGCAGGTAAATATTTATAGATGTATGAGGATACCCTCCCTCGAAACACAAACTAATTAGATTATAACGTTCATAACAATTATATATTGACATGATTCACAGCCAAATCTTAATATTTTTCTTGTAACTTTTTCTACATCGGCTCGCAACTGTAACCGAATGACTTTTTCGACTTTAACGTGTAAAAACAAACAAACTGACGCGGCTAGGGTCAAAAACCACAATGTCACACGACACTAACTTTATAGGCAACATTTTTTATCGAGCCCTCAAATTCTTGTATCGTTGTAATAAAAGGTCATAAGTGACACCATTTGGAGTCGAAATGCAATCCATTTATTTACTTGATTAGCTATTGAATATAAACAATAATGCAAGTCTTAATACAAACATAGGCATTTATAATTAATTGTCATACAAGAATTGTACCTTATCCCATTTATTATATAGTTTAACTTGCATTGTAAGTAGGTACATGATGATGCAGGCTCAAGTTTAGTTAGTATCTTCTATCTATATCATTATTCAAGAAACCGTTGCAATGGTTTTAAAAACAGTTCGAGCATCCCCCGTCAGAGAAAGGCGAGCATTCTATATACACAACACTTTTACATAATGTTTACTTGTATAGTTATATCATGACTCAGGCTCGGGGAGGAAACGACAATATTGCGAACAATACCTATGTAAATAAGCTTTTATATAGCGCATATGTACTAGTCAGCTACGTAACAGCTCAGTTATGCATGAAAAACGCACCACGACTGCGTCTAGATACATTGAAGAATTCGGACGGTATCGGTTCCTTGTTTAGGTTCGATCTTATCATGACGGATCGTAATGTCAACCTCGGTGGTAGGTAGGCAGGTGAATAATTTTCCTCTAAGTCACTATCAATAGATCAATAAACACAAAGCTCGCTGGACTTGCAACTAGAATGATTGATCCAATATGGCGTCCTGGTGCAAGGAAGTGCAGGAATTTGCGAGACGCGTTAGAGGGAGCGCGGGGAGGAGCGGGGGCGCGCGGCGCGGGGAGGGGTGACCTTCGCGCGTTGATGCAATGTCGCCGTGTCATTGACCACGCTGCGCCGCGCGCAAACAGTTGCAGCGCCCCCCCTCGACCCGCCGCCCGCGCCACTCCCTGGGCTCCCTCCCCCGGCCACGTCTATCGCCCCCTCCTCACGCTGCCCCCCACCTCCCCAGCAAGCGTGCACAGCAAACTTTTGCCGGTTTTACAATATTCATTCGTTTGCATTTAAAACTTAGATACGTATTTTTAATGAAGAACAGGAAAATTCACTGAACGCCTTTTATTTTTACCCGCCGATGTCATTGCACGCAAAAGGTTTGATTAAGATGGAACATCAGCAAAAAAACGACAAAGGAAGGGCAATCTCTTCAGACAAAAGAAATATCAACACTTGATTATTGACCACAGCCAAAAACATTGGAGGTTCGGGTATCATAAGTCGATATTAGGCATTAGCAGGTATTATGCAAAGATATCTGGCGTTTAGGGGAACAACAAACAGCATACTACAAGTCAATCAAGCTTTCGTAATCTGTTTACATTGTCAGCGGCAAGTGATTGCTGCTACCTGCTAACGAACATAATTATTTATTACACGCATCAACATCGGTATTTGAAAAACTCAATAATTCAGGAAATGTTCAACCAAACGCAAACTCCATACAAAATAAATAATAAGTTGCATTTAAACAAATGTGTAGAGAGTCACGCACTTTGTATTTATAAAAAAACTCAAATATACCACATAAATCATGTACAAATCCCCAAATCTGCTGAGATTCAGAAATGTCGACGTGTAACAACGTTTGGCTAAGTTCCATCTCACGCAGAAACAATCATCATTCAATGCGGCAGCGGTTGACACTTGAGGCGGAACGCGCCCTTACATTATATCAATATTAAAATAAAAATGTTTTCACAGTTGCATGTATTTACGTAAGCGGGGTGCACGAACTCCACGCCAGATCACCTTCGCATTGTCCCAAACTATAGGTTGAGGTCGTATCGGCAATAATAGTTATCGATAGCATCGAGCGACAAACAAGATGAACAACGACTTTGACGCAGTGTGTGGTGCCGCTCTGCTCAGCAGGCCGGCTGCGCGGGAAAGTCGAGAAATGTCAAAAGTACGTTCTCTAATCGGTTCTATTGTCTTACCTGTGCAAGTGCACGTTGCATGTGTGTAGGTACACTACGCAACGCATGCCGTGCCATTGTAAGGAACGACAACACCCAACCACATCTCAAAGAACCTAGTTCTAGGTAATTACTCACAAAAACAAAAACCATTAATTGTCATCCATCTTCCTACAAGATAGTGTAGACAATCAGCGAATGTTATTTGGAAAATAACAGCAGCAAAGGTTAAAACAACATCACAAAATGTGACCATATCGCAGCAGTAGGTACTGCGCGTCAAATTTGACAGACTGTAAGTGTCAACACGTCTCAACTGACCTTACACAATATCGAGTGCATTCGTATTAACCGGCCTAAATAAACAGATAGTTGAACCGCCGCTTTGTGCACTGATAACGGCATCCGCCCGGCCACCGCACAAAAAATATACTTAAACACGATAACGCTATCATTTCTCAACTTACGATTTTATTACACCTACTTCTGTTATTCCTGTTGAAATATTATCATTTTGAGGCAATGTATGGAGATAAACTCTAGATTAAACCATATTATGTAACAACGAGAAATTGTTGACTACATCTCTGTGGACGATACAGGTTCGTAGATATAACATTAAGAGTAGCAGAGGCGAATTAGTCGTAAAGTCGTAATAATAACTACACAACAAGCCGATTTATAATCAAACTAATACCTAATTACAATTCATTGATAACGGACAGTTTATACATTAATTTAATTCGGTGCAACTTATGTTAAATCCTATAAATTGTAGGTGTCAAAAGTATAACCGTGGAGCCGCGCGCCGCGCGTAGGAGACAAAAATGTCACTTAGATAAGTAGGAACTTCCCATTTAGATAATGAACAACAACTGGTGTAACAAACGCTCATGGCACGTCATGATCTGCCCAAATATACTGCGAACACGGAACCATACATTTTAACAATGTATATCTAAACAAAAGCAAAAGAGGAATCTGATGAGAAACTTCAAATTTTTATGTCAACTAAGAAACTAGTTCATTAAGATAATTCTACATTTTCACTTTTAAAACAAAGGTATGCCTAGTGCTTCAATTGTTCAATGTATTTTCCAAATGTAACCCGAATCAGTTTCAGATTTATTCAAAGTAAATAAATGTGAATAGAGTGTGTGTGTCGTAATACATGGCGGCCATTAATTTGTACAGATGTTATTTCGCAATGAATTCGCGGGAATTCAAGTGCGCATGTTCCGTGTTTATTCTACACTTTAAAATGTTCTGTCTTCCGCCTTTTGGTGTTTTTATATTACGCTATATTTCTGTTGAAACAGGAGATTCATTCAATTACTAAATACTAGCAAATCGTTAAAAATATTAGCGTAGATTAATCATCTCTGTGTATGTTCTAGCTGCGGCTGTACAGTACCTGTATTATTGTCTTGTGTGAGGTGTGACTTTGAACTCTATATTACCCCATTAGATACACCAATAAGTTCGAGCACACAACAATTAAAATGGAACACTGCGTGTATTGCCGTCATATCTGTACAGTTGGTTAAACAGGCGCGGTGTTTGCGGTGCGCAGGCGCAGACGAAAGCTGTTTCGCAACCGCACACATAACCTTAAATACCAATGGTAATAGGCCGAGTCCACAATATCCATGTATCTCCATGTAAACGTCTTCAACAGATTTACAGATCTACAAAATAGTATTAACCAACGACGAAACACGGCAGTGTCTTTTAGTTTTATTGGTTTTCAAAATGATAGTAACAAAATCCATTTTTAGAATGTAAATATCGAATATGTTTTTCTATTAACGAAATCAATAAAACTTAGCATGATTTAGGTGCGGCCAAACAGCTACTAATTAAGCGTATTAAAATTAAGAGGACGAGCGCTTTAATCAACAAGTGCTATTAAATTAATTAATTATATTAGAATAATATAGTCCCGCGTACGACTGCATGCCTGGCCTTGTTACAAGTATTCCTGTATGAGGAGGTGACAGTAAGAAGTGGCGGGGTAGCTTTAGTTGACATTTCTTCGCCTTCGTAATGAATGGTGCAGGTATCAGGGCTTACAACAATTACATCGGTTATGCAAGTGGTGCACAGGTAAACCGGTCGAGAGACAACTAAAATATAAGAACAAATGACCCAGCGCCCGTCCCCCAGCCGCCCCGTCCGGTGTGAACGACATCCGAATGCAAATCATGAATTCCACGCCGTGTTACGATATGTGCCGGAAAATTAACAATTTGTTGTGTTTAGTGGATAATGGCTGTCTCCTTGAAGTGCACCCAAGGAAGGTATTAGGGACGTGGTCGTTGACACCAGTCGAGCGAATGAAAATGGAGAGCGCAGGGCGCTATTACTCTGCGAGGATTATCCGGGTGTGTCGACTGCGTCATGCATTTTAACCGTGTTTCGGTTTCATGAGCAGAATTCGACTCGATGTTACAGTAGGTCGTTTGAAACAACGTAAAATGTTTCATCTCCGTGAAATGATATTGACAAATATCAGTTAGAGAGTGCAGAAAGTGCTCGATACATTTCGCATGTAACAGAGGAGGCCCGAGTGTGGAGTGGCGCGCACTCTAGACTGCAACGGGTGTGTTCAGTTCGGTGATACAAGCGGTTATATCGCTCGTCCTCTATAGTATACATAACATGCGCCTCCTCCTGAAATCTGCGAAGCTCGTCCACGTGACCTCGATACAAGTGTCGCCCTCTAGCCGCATGTTATCGCGCGCCGTTACGTAAGGTGCAATGTTGTCGAGCGCAAGCGCAGCGCTGACCTTACTTAACGCCGCGCTAGTTCACCATATGCACATGCGCGCAGGAAAATAGAACGCGCCATCTTGGGGCTTGCGTTTTAAATATAACAAGCACGAAGCTCCAGAATAGCGCTTTAGTCATGCCCGAGTTGCAACTCTACTGCAGCGCCTAGCACCACTGCATGGGGGGGGGGGGCAATAAATAGCTTGCTGCTCTTCCAGCTACACCTGCCTGGAAGAAGTTCGCAACCAAAGCGACTACTCTCTCAATCGATCGGCTCTTGAAACTGTTTGTTTGTTACATAATTGAGCACTATCAGCTTTTGCATGAACAGAACATACGGAATGTCACCTTGATAATGAATGCACAAAAACTGTGTTATCGTTGAACCACCTTTCCACTTTGGCCTCATCAATCGAAACATGACGGCAGCCACCAATCAGAAAGCTGCGCATGTTAAACAACAGATAGCACACACGTGAAATTTATCTCTCGGGATGAAAGTGATCTCTGCGGGTAGTAGAGCAACGCAGTGACTCGCTGCACTTAGAGCTTGTCGAGCAGATGCGCAATGCATAACTCATCAACGCAAAATCCCGTAGTAGACGGGCAGGGACAACTTAGTGGGAGGCGGGGGATGTGCGGGCGCAGGACGCGCGTGTGTGCGTGTGTGTGAAGGTCAGCCGGCGGCGTCATTTCCTGGTCATTGCCTGCTGCCGCCGCCGCATCCGACGCGAGCCGGCGCCCGCGCTGCTCACTCGCAATCTTAGAGACGCGCACGCTTTCCGGTCGCACAGGAAAACTTGATGCTATTGTCAGGCGCACTATGGGAGGAAACGAATCTGAAGCTAAAATGTCAGTGCATATACCCGCCGACACAGTCCCATCACTGCGCTGATTACCTTATCACTTCCGCCTGAAAAATAAAATGATAAACATTATTTTTCATAATAATACAAATATGTAGCCACGTTTGCCGAGCAGTTGCTTTGAGGAAATGTTCTCAGCTTCACTATCTTATCTTAGTAATTCTTTTATCACAAGCAAAAATAGCAAATTTGCAAACTGATAAATCGTCATAGGTGTTTATGTATGAGCCGATTGACGTCAGCTGAGTGTAGTGCTGTACCAGCGGGCAGTCGCCACTTCCTAAACATTGTTTCGGCGAGCAACAAGTAGTATGGGCCGACGACCAAACGTATTTATCATGTAATTTATATGCTTGCTGGAAGGACCCGCTAGTGAATAGCTCCCAGTTGCCTTGATTGCTGATGCGTTGCAAAACTCAGTCAGAAGTGAGGGCAGCAGGAGCGGGCGCGGCCCGTGTTACGTGTTTGTATCGCAAGAGGTTTGTGGGGTAACCCATTTATCGCGACCGCGGGATGCGCGAACGCAACCGGTTCCCTCCTCCCCCCACTTCACCCTGCATCAACCTAAACGTTCGCACACTCGCATCCGGGAGCAAAACAATCCGTCTCCATCAGAAACTAAGGGCAAAATGCACCTAGTTCAGTGAGAGTAAGGTGCACTTTACAACGGAGGCTACGTCGATAAATTTTCTTTTCGCTTCGAAGGACTGCTAACTAGCAAAGTGAAGATGACATTCTAAGACTGCAACAGGCGCACAAGTCGACGTAACCTTGATCTTGCAGCGCAACCAGTAGGATGCGTCCAGCCGTCCAGCGCATGCGCTATAAATAGACTCGCCGCGCATAAAATGCGGGTTTTTTACGCGGCGTCTTGTTAGCTTCCCATGCTCGCGAGGGATTTTTATGAGATACGTGTTCGTGGAACGTTAAATTATAAATAACAGGTAAGTATGTTAGCGCAGCGCCCGCCGCGCCCGCCGCCCTATCTGTACCGTTGCTAGTGGCCGCTCTACTTGCTAATCTAACTTCACTCGCAGTTGATCGACGAGATCGTTTTGATCATGATTTTTATCGTGTACCATCTTAATGAACTGATACAGCTTTCATTTAATTACCTAAATGTATCTACCTAATGTTTATCTGAGCAAAGAGGCCGCGGCTCCTGGACAACACTGGTTGCGCTCGACTACTTACTTAATGTTATTGTCACTTTGATAAATAATCAGCATCATTTTACTTTAATTGAAAGATAAAACTCACTCGTATCAGTTAAATTTATTTTGATGATTTTCTTTCCACATAATTTCCTTAATTATAAGTTAACGTCAATCCGAATGCAAAGATGGCGAAGAATTTTAAAATATATTTGTCTAGAAGATTAGACGCATTTTTGTAATGCACCTCAAAGCAATATAATAAACTTAAGATAACTGATTCAGATTCCGCGTTGTTTATTCAATATTGTTCGTGTGTTGTACAGCTATTTGTTATTCAGCTGCTCCATTAGGAATACAACAATGTGTGGGCGTTAGCCAACCTAAAACAGCATCGCACTGCACCTGTTTTGTCAACTGTGATGTGAACGCGCGTTAAATTAAATGTAGACCACGGAACTGTTCTACTCTAGACAGATTGAACAATTAAATTTCCTTAATCTCGGTGGGTATGGCAACCCTGGTAGCGTGACGATGTGTTTGCCACACGTGTCAGTGCGCAGGGTCAATGACCGCTCAGATAAGCCGCGCGAAAATACATACCAGTTAGATAATATTAGAAAATGGCGAATCGCGCCAACCCAACACACACTGGCGACGTTTAAAAATAAATACATAAATGTAACAAGTTTTATATCAGTCCGCGGCTACTGTGCTAAGTTCAAGCGAAACTCTAATCCAGTTATAAAATGTTTATTAATATAATATAATAAATGTAAAATAGATGCGTAGGTAACTCCACATACCTACATGCATTTTCTCTTGGAAGAAAAACCAACATTACCGTAACGCTTACATTTATATAATTACGTGGCAACGTTAAAACCGCAAATAAAGTTCTATGTAACGACTATACTATACGTCATTTCCTCATAAAAATAAATTAACTTTTAAAACACACTTCCGCCTTGCCTCTGTTGTTATTGAAACGAATTTATTCCCCATGGAAGTTTGACAGGATCAATTGTCAGCAATTCTGTCGCACAACTATGGGACTGTAACTGAACGTTAAAATATCGCTATTGGATGGTCATCAACTATTACTAATTCGATGATACGACGATGTTATCCATACTTCGTCCTGCAAGAAACAAAACAGACACACTACAAAATACTTTTTTTTACATTATATTACACTCGTCCGTCGTTATAAGAACCACATGAAGAGAACAGAATGCATGTTTGCTTCACAAAGTTTTCTTAAATTTCTGGAGCACGTAACTCGACATAATTTACACAACCTTATTACAAGAACAGCAACACGCGCCGCGCTGTAACCACTATAAAATTCACGGAAAACTAGTTACTGGCTTTTCACTTCCTAAAAACAAGACGCTAGGCTACTCGACATTAAAACTATATAAATCTACCTGAAATAAAAAAAAATACTGAAATCGAAAGCTTACTTGTGCTTATGATAATATAATTGCCTCATAAACAATATCCATCAGAACCTACGGCATGCAGACGTAAAGACGGGCCGAGTACATGTATGTAGTGCTAACTAAATCATTTCCCACGAATTGGGCTAATCGTACAACCAAACAACTGTTTTATTGAGCTAGCCAGATAAAATTTATAGCCTCGTCCATCTTGAAGTTTTTAGATCAAACTGAAGCGGTCGACTTGTGCAAAATCTACTTTTGTTTCCTGTACCGCACTGACTTTAATCTAATAGTGATAGTTTCAGAACTACATGCGACTCGAAGGAGTAACGAAGTCTTCATTATTTGTAAGCGATACTTGATACTGTGGCAGGCCATGGTGAACTGTGCGTAATCTCCTCTTCGTGTGTAGTGTGCATTGTGATTGATTCCGCGAAATCAAAAGCTTATTTTTCTGTGGAGGAAAACGTATCGGCGTGTGCCGAGTGGGCCGACCGCAGGCATTCGGGTCAAGGCGCGGGTACCGGTGCGTTTGACTCAATCACGTCACTATCAGTACTATTGTCAACTAACGCGCTCGCATTGTCCAACGAAGTATGCGCACCGACCTGGAAAATATCAAGTTTTAGGAAATGTTCAGCTCTTTTCTATGAATAAATTAGACGATGTATCATAACGTCTACACTGTGTAAAAGGAAATTAAGCAGGCAACATTATAATTACAAAACAAAAGGCTCATACGATCAGACTTCACTTTCTGCCGCGACAAGTCTAGTCTTGCCGAATTATCTTTATTTAAGCATTGTGCTATCACTAAGTACCTAAGTCACATTACAATAAAACGCACCACAACAGATCTATAAATCATCGTAATGAATAAAAATAATTGAATCGGATAAGTTTATCCTGATGACAGTCGCATCCTGTCGTCGGGCCGAGCAATATTGTTATCACCTGTTGCTCCACCATACTGATAGGGTATCGTCGCATTACCTATAATAATACATTTCATTGCTTCACGCGATAGATATGTATGTATGTCACTACGATACGGTGTTTTAATCCAATTAAATAAGTACTACGAAATTTTCAATAGAACTTTGGTACATAGTATCTTATTATGAAATTGTGGATAATTAGTAGAAATGTAGGCCGCAGCTAGTTCTAGTTTACAGGGATATAGAGTAGAATTTATAATATTATGTAGAGACAGCGGGTCGGGAACAGGACGTTCTGAAATTGAAAACACTACAAAATATTGTTATCAAAATAGAAGAGTTGGTTTAGACAACACCGTCCTAATCGCATGAGAGTTGCTCCATCGCCTAGTCCCACTATTGTTTAGCGGGTGAGGTCTGAACAAAACATTCAACGAATTAAATATTGACTCGTCTAACAAAAATACGTCATTTTGCTGAGATTCATTTGACAGGGTTTTGAAGTGTACATTTATTATATGGTAAATTCGCCATTTAATGTTAGGAAGCCTCTGAGGGACCTGCTTTAATGTTTAAAGTGGAAGTATTACTAAATTTGTGTTTTTACCAATAGTAACTGTGGTACTGAGGGAACATCGTTTTGCTTCCAGTGGGCAGCGTGAACGAGCGCGACGCGTACGGCTACGGGTACGGCGGCGGGGGCGGCGGCGCGCACCACTTCGCCGCTCCGGCGCCGCCGCCCCTCCCGCACGACGAGCTCCCCTACTCGGTGTTCGACTTCGGCGACTACCAGCGGCATCACCACCACAACAAGCTCAAGCCCAAGAAGAGGCCGCGCACCGACGCACCTCCCACGCCCGGCGTGAAGCGCAAGAGCCGCGAGGGCTCCACCACGTACCTTTGGGAGTTCCTCCTCAAGCTGCTGCAGGACAGGGAGTACTGCCCGCGCTTCATCAAGTGGACAAACCGCGAGAAAGGCGTGTTTAAGCTGGTGGACTCGAAGGCGGTGTCGAGGCTGTGGGGGCTTCACAAGAACAAGCCCGACATGAACTACGAGACGATGGGGCGCGCGCTGCGCTACTACTACCAGCGCGGCATCCTGGCCAAGGTGGACGGCCAGCGGCTCGTGTACCAGTTCGTGGACGTGCCCAAGGACATCGTCGAGATCGACTGCTCGCTGGCGTAGACGAATCTCGAGTGAACGCGTGACGGGACCGTGGTGACGAGTGATGTGCGCAGGACGCTAAGAGACGCGAGCTGGCGCTGGCTGGCGCTGGCTGGCGCTGGCCGGTGCAGGCGTGCAGGGGACGCGTTTCATTTCGCTCTTACATTACAACTTTTCACTAATAGTTACAATTCGTCTATTTTTCAAATCATCATGCATTACGTTTTTCAGATCGCTTCTATATAATGTTATTAATATAAATATTACTCTCAAATCGAACTAATATTAACTTATCATTGAATTTAATATTTATACAAAAATAGGAGAGACGAAATTGATTGCTCAAATGTTTATATAGGTACCTATTTTTAGGGGTCTTTCAGAAGAGGAACACTAAATTTGCTAGATGTTATATGGGGACGGAGTGAGTTTTGTATAATGTTGAAACGAATTTTTAAATGTTTGTAAATGAAATTTCTATATATTGCATGTTTAAGGTCGATGATACATTTCCTCGGTCGACTGTACGAAATCAGAACTTCCTACCTCATAACTACGCAAAACTTACAAATGATTCATATGAATATACAATTTACATTGTTCGAAACAGTTTACAAATCGCAATATATATATCTATATAGTCTAAATAAGAGTTTATTATAAAGAAATATTTACGTAAATGTTTATATTACAAATATCTTATAGTACCTAATATCCTCAGATGAAATATATTCACTTCTTGGTGCTTTGTATGGCCATCTCATATTTACACATTGTTACAGTGGAAGCAACCTCACTGCTCCGTTTATATATTATGTATATTATATGAACATTTAGTAATTGTCTATTATCTAGCTGTAATCTGTTTCCCAAGAGCGGGCCCCGAGTGAGCTAGCTACAGCAATACAGGGGCGGCGTGCGCGTGCGCCGGCGCCGGCTCGCTCGGGTCGCGCTCTTACTCTCGCATAGTCTATCTCATTGTTTTAGATATGTACATTTCGAAACCGAATTTGGAAATGATATTCAATTGCAAAAATTGATTTACACCAACGTTTTGACGTAATACTACGCATGTACTGATAAACCTACTGCCAACTTTCTCATTCAAACTGATGTAATGAATAGTTAAGTGATGAGTTTTGTGCGTTAATTGTGTTAATTATAAATATATGTTTACTGTAAGTGAGCTGTTTTAAGTGGACATGTTCTAGTTTATTTCGTTTATTTAAAATTATATTAAGCATGTTGCGAGGGGGTTGCGCGCTCCACCTCACGACTACAACTACATATCACAGAGAAACAATTATTTACCGTGTATACATACATATACATCCTGTTTTGTCTGCATATCAAGCCGCTTGTATATATATTTGTTTAGTTGAAAGGCGCGCAGCCTCCATTTTTTGTTACCTGAATAAATATTATTAATAATTAATTACTATTTGTGGTCCAATGTTAATGAATCATAATACTTTTAACTAGATAGATATAAAAGAAAGATCGATTTAGGTGTAGCCTAGTTCACTTCGACATATAGACAGATATAATTGATGTTTCATTCAATGCAAAGACAAATTGATCATTTTATGTATACAATAAAGTTCGATATAATAGTAAATGTACGTTCGTTAGACGAAGAACTGTTAGTTGGCGTCGAGTCTATGTAATAATGGCGACCACACGTGCGCTCCAGCCCGCGCTCTACTTGCGTTCCGTTTACCGCTGCTGCGTAGTTTTGCAATATTTTTATATTCAAAGTAAAGGATACATGCTGTAGTGCCACGGAGGGCTCGTGTGGTCTCGAACTGTGAGGGTCAGAGGAGCCTTAGGAGTATATGTCCGTGTCGGGTACAAAGGGTGCTATGTTGAGGGACCGCGCTCGGGTGAGGCTCGCACTCAATACAATAATATATTAGACCAGTCCAACCGATATACAGGTGTTAAACTATATATTAAATAAACCAGTGCGATAAGTGACTTTTGTATAGGTGAAAGATCTCAGTATGCAAACTTCTTCGAACAAAACCAGTGGCCGTTTCATGTGATTGAAAAATAATATATTTTAAAACTAAATTGTGGAATTTTAATCGTATTTTATATAGCTAGATGGAATTCTCAATAAATTTCTGTTCGGCACTACTTCTTATGCTTTTGTAAATATAATTATAGGAGTTAATTTATTTATTTAGTCTGTCACGCGAGTGGCGCCAACTGGCGTCGGCGAAGGCATTCAATTCTTTTCCTTTTTAGGAAATTTCGTTCTGTAGGTTACAAATTTTATTGTAAAATATCTTTATTAATAAATTAGTAGGTAATGAATGGACCATGGGATGGAAGATGAACGCTCTCAGAATTTATAATTCGGCTAGTGTGAGTCCTAATCGACAATGTGAGATGCTAGTTACCGGTAGTAGGCAAAATGTTTGAGCAAGCATTTAAAAAAATGCTCGGAGAGTTTAAATAATTTTAGTCGAATTGATGTTGTTGAATTAAAAATCAAAGTTTCTAATTAATAATGTACTTAAATTTTCAATGTAAATTTAAAAGCACCTCGAAAAAAAATATTATTAATGAAATTATTTTAAATTGAGCCTAGTCTTAGTATCATAATTTGATTTTAAATTATAATGTCAGACGCCGCATTGGCACGAGGCGTCGTCGTAACAGCGGTCTACCTATCGCGACCGCAAATTTTTAGCACGTCAAAATTAATGTAAATACGAAATGTATAATGTTAATCCAAACGCACACCCTCACGACCCATGAACGACTAGTTATTGGCGTCGCTAGTTAGGTGAAATATGAGAATATTTTGCATGGAAGCAATGAGAAGGTTAGTGAATTCGGTGATAGAGGGAGAGGGCGCTGCGCTCGCTCGTCGGCGGCAGACAACATAATTACGTGTTTTATCGTTAAATTACTATTTCAATGTACGTATTCCTGTTTGTCGATAAATTAATGTCCAATATTCGAATACGTAATTCATTCCGGATGAGAGTGGTGTGTTACATTTGTGTAGACAACGAGTTTTTAGGTGAATGATGAACTTTAGTTTCAGCTACTCGCTCATAGGTGGCGCTTTCGTTACGCTTTTGTCAACGTTTTAACAAAATTATATGATTATTCTGAGAGTTGCGTGCGATTACAGTGATTTTGCGTTATACTTGCTTTTAGTTTTATGCAGTTAAAGTCCGATATTGTAATGTAATTTTATTTAGTTGTTAATTTTACAAAATACTGTATTTTCTGCCCCCTAGTTAAGTTATTTTTCTATGTATAGTTAGTTATAAGTGTAAATGATTTAGCACATAAATTTGATGTATGATGATAATGTTAATAAAATATCCACAATAAAATCCATCCTTGTTTGTTATTATGAATCCTATAGGAATACCCTGTCGATATGTCAAGTTCCGTGGAGTTAGAGTTAATTAGAGCTATATCATCTAAAAACTGAAACTGTATGTTATGTTTTAGGGATAGGGGGAATTCCCGAGTAAGGCTGTATAGACAGAACCTTATTTTTTTTTAATTTATTAAGGGATAATAAACAAGTTTAATACAAATCTTCAGTTTAATAAAGCAAGTAGCAACGTTGCAGTCCACTGCATTAGGTTAGGAAGGGGTATTGGGGGTCACTTTGAGGTGCCAGGTGCACCTCACTTTATCAAGACTTCACAAGTCTGTACCGACACAAAACAATTTCAACTGATACGTCAGGGGCTGGACGATAAGTAAGCTAGTACTTCCTGGTAGCGTCGTTGTGATTGAGGTAGGTACTAACAAAAATAATCATAGTATTCAAACATGGTAGAAAAATAACAAATAGGGAAAAATTAAGAAAAGACCCCACAGATTTTTTTATTTTTTTACTTGCAATAAACTAGTGCTTGACTGCGATCCCACCTGAGGGTAAACAGTGATGCATTCGTTGATGATAAGGCGCACTACTTTATTTAGAGCCTATTCACTCTAGCCTTGAAGACTCCTAAATTATATTCGGACGGAAAGACTGCAGCTGGCAAAAATCCCTCGATATACTTACGCTTTATAAATGACGAGGCAAAACGCTTAGTCCGGGCCGCAGGTGTCTCAACAACGTAAGGGTGGATATTTGCCGTACGCCGGGATGTCCCAAGGTAAAATTGGGATGGCGGAATCAAATCGTGCAATTCCTGAGCACACTCTCCAAAATGCATCCTGTAGAAAACCGAAAGGCTGGCTACTCTGCGCCTGTGCTCCAGACTTTGAAGATTCGACCCAACCAAATCTAGATCACCGATCAGCCTCTTTACACTGAATCCAAAGCCGCTAGGTGGCATTTTGCAGCACCAGCCCATTTGACGTTGCAGTACTCCACACACGATCGGAGCTGTGCTTTGTACAACATTAGAAGCTGACTTGGTGTGAAGTACCGTCGGACTTTTGCAAAAACACCGAGTTTTCTAGCAGCTACCTCGGCCTTGGACTCAATGCCAAACGCCCAAAGTTGAGGTCTGAAGCATGTCCATTACCAAGAGCTGAAGGCGGTCGGTGCATTCCAGGGATACATCCCGAAAAGCAGGAGCCAAGGTGAACGGGCTCCTTTTGGTGGTGAATAGACACGCCAGTGTTTTGGTGGCGTTGAATGCTACCAGATTAGTTTGTTCCTAGTGGATCCATCAATATTAACTGAATATAATCAATATTATGACACATATTTTTCGAGAAGGAGGTCAATCGTCGAATCCAACTTGGATGGGCAGCGTTCGGGAAACTACGCAACATCTTCTCGTCCAACTTACCTCGGTGCCTTAAGACGAAAGTCTATAATCAATGTGTGTTACCAGCGATGACCTATGGAACTGAAACGTGGTCTCTTACTGTGGGCCTTATAAAGAAGCTCAAGGTCGCTCAGCGCGCTATGGAGAGGGCTATGCTCGGAGTTTCTTTGCGAGACCGTATAAAAAACGAGGATGTCCGCAAACGAACAAAGGTTTCCAACATAGCCCAGCGGATTAGTAAGTTGAAGTGGCAATGGGCAGGGCACATAGCGCGTAGAACCGACGGCCGCTGGGGCAGAAAGGTTCTCGAGTGGAGGCCACGTACCGGCAAGCGCAGCGTAGGACGTCCACCCGCAAGGTGGACAGACGACCTGATTAAGGTCGCAGGAAGCCGCTGGATGCAGGTCGCTTCCAACCGACCTATCTGGAAGTCGATGGGGGAGGCCTATGTTTAGCCGTGGACGTCCTGTGGCTGATATGATGATGATGATGATGAATCAATATTAACAAAAATACCCAAAATTTCCTCTAGTCATAGCTACCTGGTGAATTCTTTCATCCTGAAGTAGTGAGTTCAAAAGACCTCGCGTTACAGTAGCACTTGGTATGTTTAAAACCAATACCCTCGAGAGTTGAGAAATCTCAAAATCCTCTTATTTAAACTTTTATAATTAAAAGTATATTTGTCTGACGTGTTGCTGTCATGTCAGTTGCTTTGACGTGTATAGCACAGCTGTCATACGTTAAATTTTGTTTTCCAATTTCCCGATAATGAGAAGGAAAAAGTAATCATTGTTATGTGAAAATCTTACTATATCATACATTTGTTTATATGTTATTGTGAGAGACAGTTAAAATATTGAAAATGGTTCTTATGACAATGATCGCAAGGGTCGTAGACGGCCTCCCTTTGGCCGCTACAATGCAAGAAGATGAACAGGTAACCAGTTATTTAATGCATTATCAACTTATTATTATCCACGTGTAATATTTAACACACCTTTCTATCCATCTATAAATTTAAATTTGTAATTTATAGCTTTATGGTATAGTTTTTCTCCTCACCTCTGTATTGATCTACAACATAATTATTTTGATTTAATTTTTCCACCTTATTATTTCTTATTTTATAATTTAATTTGCTGTCGTGGTTCGCAGAGCGGCTGCAATGTACTGGAGTATCAAAATCAGGCTAAAATGCTGTTTAGAAAACTAGGCCCACAATCGCCGACACGTTGCTCCATCGAAACTGGGCCCTATCTCTTCCAGTGAGTCCTATCGCTTTTTATATTTCAGTTCTCCCTCAATTTTTGCTATGTTTTACCACCAATTTTAGCACTTTCATTCTGATGAAATGATTAATTTTGTTTATGAAATCTTTTTATTTTGTTGCTACACACCTACAAAGATATAATTATATTTTTAGGCTACATTGTGGAGCTTGTGCTAGAAATAACCAAAAATAAAATTAAATTGCTGAATCTGTGTGTTACATTTTCAGTTATCTTATTGAACACGAGATCTGCTACTTAGTGTTGTGTGAGCGGAACTACAGCAAAAGACTAGCATTCAGTTATCTTGAAGAAATAGCTCAAGAGTTCTACCAGCAGTACGGCAAGAGGGTATGTACAGACAGTTCAGCTAACATTGCATCATATAAATCATAATATATAAACATATATTCATGACAATTATGGCTCAGATAGCCAACACAAATACACACAAAAATATATCTTTATAAAAATGATGTTATAATGCTGAACTGACTAAGTTACTTGTGACCATATCATATCATAATTTGGAAGAATAAGTATAATTGGGTAGTTTCCTAGGTCAAAAAGAAAATTATTTCGACGTTTCAATACAATAAAATATTGAAAAATAACTATACTTTTATTCATTGATTGGTCAATATACTAATTTTTAGTTTTTTTTTAGCTAATTATTAAGAAATAAAGCTATTTGACGCAATAAAGTTATGACGTCATAGCTCACTTTAATACAAATTTCATAGAAAAGTATTGTTTTTGATGTTTGGATAAAAGTATTGAATTTGACTAGTTAGAAACTACCGTATTAACTGTGAATAACATGCTCTCTTAACATCTTACAAAAACCGGCAGATGAACTACATTTTGTGAATTTTTGTGCATTATGTTACAGTAAAAATATATTTTGCTTTTTGCTTAAACTGCCAACTTTGGAAAAAATGTTTTAATTACCTTAGCTTCTGTCGTTCTATTTACAAATTACTTGATACAAACCAATCTAATATTATCACAGTCTCCGTTTTTGAATACTATTAATTCTTTTTTTAATTCTAATGTCATGATATTACAGGTGAACACAGTCACCCGACCATACACATTCATAGAGTTCGACACGTGGATGCAGCGCGCACGGCGGCAGTACGCGGAGGGCGGCGCACGCGCACGACGCGCTGGCGCCGCCGCCCAGCTCGGCGGGCAGCTTGGCGACGTGCAGCGCATCATGATGCAAAACATCGACGATGTGCTGCAGAGGGGAGCTATACTCTCTGGTAATATTACTCTTCATCATCATCAGCCGGAAGACGTCCACTGCTGGACAAAGGCCTCCCCCGTAGCTCTCCACATCGAACGACAATTTGCTACATATGACTCTTACTGCTCTTCTATTTATGTTAACTTTTCAAGTTAAAAACATGTAAAATTAGAAAGTTTGCAATATTTCAGCTCTTAATGATGACTCATGGCTCATTATCACTTGGATGAAAATGGTGTAACTATAATTTTTTTATTGTTATCAGTTACAACAACTGACATTAGCAATGAGAATGACTAATATCAAATTACTTGATACATATACATTTATGCAAATCTTGTATAGAGAGCCAGTATGTGGTTTTCACTAAATAATGAATTTGTTTCAGAACTGGATACAAAGACTCAGAACCTGTCAATGATGTCTTCAAAGTACAAGAAGGATGCAACATACCTTAACACAAAGTCAATGCTTGTGAAGGTGACAGCAGGCGCTGTCATTCTGCTTGTGTTTGTGCTATACTTCTGGGTGCTTTAGATGGGTAGTTTGTTCCTACAACTGTGGTACTCCTGTTGTGTACTGTGTAATGGACTACTTTACAATACCATCAGATACAATAAGAAGTTATCCTCAATAGAAATTGTTTCATATTTTTACCTATCTCAACAACTAAATCAGTAAATTAATTAATATATCAAAAATACAATCTAAAACTAGAGACATAACTATGGTATTGCAAAGTTCTATTGGAGTTCACACACAGTATGACAGCTACGCTGTTATAGTTGGATTGCCTTTTGAAACTATAATAGTACACATTTGGGACATTAAATAAATTATATGTCTGCAAGATTAAATATTTTCTATGTGATTGCTCTGGATAGTTTTGTAACTAGACATAGCAAGAAACTGTAATATTAAGAGCCCTTAGCCTTACCTTACTGCAATAACATTTGTATTTGATTACATTTCTTATTTACATCATAATAATCTACAGAGATATTTGGTTAGTAGTTTTGATGGTGATATGCTCAACATATAGATACATGAAGCTGCTTAATTATTCTGAGAGTTAAACAACTGATACTACATGAAATAAGCATTCCAAGCAATATAAGCTTACTGAAAACATAATACATTGAATATATAACTGGTACCTAGTATTGTTACAATGTTTGGTAATAACATGATAAAATACCTGAAAATGCTTGAAAGTGAAAGTAAACTTGTCTATGCCAATCATTATTTTTTGATGTAATGAGCACAATGAGTGCTTGGTGATGGAATGTTGTAAATTTTATCACATATTGTTATTTAATGTATTTATTTAAGATTTAATAAATATTCATTCTTTTAACTGTTTTTTTTTTCACCACATTGAAATTCATGTATATTATGTCCTATATTCAAGTAAGGTCTTGTTGCTCTTCATATACAAGAAAGTTTCTAGCCAAGTGTAAGCTGGTGATACTACCTAAGGAATTCTTCATTCTTATTGCAGTTGATACAGTCATTACCTGAAAAATGAATAATCCAATCACTCATAAAAATATTTTGTAAAAGTAAAATATACATTGTAGAGGGTAAAAATAATAAAATTACAACAAGTTTTAGCCTCAACAAAGAAATACCTACTTGTAGTAATTTTGCAAATATAACAGGTCTGTTCTTCCATTGCAGTGTGCCAAATATTTGCACAGGATATGGTATCACTGTCGATTGTGGTGGAGTTTTCAGGAACACCATGGACACCTGTGCAAGGGGCTCTGACTGACATTCTGTCTCATCCAGCTGAAAATTAAAGCATTGACTCCAAAACATCTTTTTGCAAAAAAAATATTACTTGTACTGATTTAAACTTACGTCAGTTAAATAAAATCGTCCATTAATACTTTTCAAAATTCCTATAGTCCTACATTTTATAACTTCATCACCAAAAGTAAGACACTTTTCTTTAACGTCCTTCAGGTCTGTATAAATATAAAAATCATTCTGAAATAAAATGTTATCATATTTAACCTTTAAATACTATACTGTATAGGCAATATACTTAATCCTGATCAGTTAAAAACTTACACACGGCGCATTCACACAGAATGGCATTTCATGATAGGAAATGTTTCTCTCACAGGCCATTTCACGTATATATATTCTGCTAAACTACCTGTCTTTACACAATAAACATTTTAATTTCGGCATTAAAAATTGTGCTTCCTGTTATTGAGTTTCCTAATTTTATTAGCAATGTTGACATTTTATAACTCATGTTTCGCGCTCTCTTGCTACACTGTCAAAATCTCATACTGTCATTCATAGATTATAGTGATATACTGTCATTTATATATGTCACTAGGTTGGAAGTGTTTGACCAGATTAGGAATTAATAAAACCAAGTCCTAGTCTAATATCTAATACACTACAGAAACATTTATCAAATATTATAAAATTAAATGGTTGTGCCATTACTACACACTTTTAGACTTTAATCTCTTTAGAGCATTACCCAAAGAGCATAATTGGTATATTTTTTTAACATACTCATGTCACTGTCGTATTTGTCGTTGTCAAATTGTAATGTCACTTTGCTTGCTTTGTTTTGTATTGGCCAAATTTCGTGTGTGAAGTGTTAGTGCAATAAGCAACATATTTGTACCAACTCTATTATTTTTGCTATTAAAATATGTCGTCTCTCATTGAACTACGTCCCAATCGAAGGCTTTTGGATCATGATTTTGAAGGTTATAAGCTAAATTTACAAGCTTTACCACATTTTTCTCATCAACTACTAGAGCCGGTCGACAAAGTGTATCCAGACGAAGTTCAGTACTCTTTTGTCCACGCTAAATTATTCGCTCTGCATAACCACTTGGTTCTAGATTATTGGGATTACGTACTTAATTTCTATTACATAGACAGAGAACAAAAAATACGTCGTGTTTGTTTCGACAACACAAATCAATCATTCCATAACCAAGTTGTTTATGACGTGCCTGCACATGTAGAAAGGAGGTCCGGCCACTTCAACCTATGCTTGTCTTTCCCATCAGAGAGTGTAGCTGTAGTTAGTGACGGCACAGGATATTTGCACATTGTTGATACAGGTGCAAGAAATCGCCCATCTGGTAGAAACCAAGAATGGCAAACAGTTCAGTCAAGTCTTATTCTTGGGGAAGGGAAATATTTTATTATAATGGACTCTAGAATGCAAGAAAAGGATAATATAGAGACATTACACTGCCTTCTGCAATCAGTTGAGCAGAATGAGTCACACTTTGACTCTGTACTTACTTGGGTCACCTTTGACAAAGAAGATCAAGGGTGGAAGCAGATGAGTTTCAGACAAGTACAAGGCAAAGGCATTGTGCACTATGCTGCTATAGAAACAAGTTGTACTGCACTGTACATTGCCTCTGACAACACATTCAAATTCACCTTAGATTCTGAAAAGGAAATTGTTAAACCCTCTATGGAGACACCCCGGACTATCATCTACACATGGCTGCAGACAACCGAAGATATCACAATCACTTTAAAACTTGAGCCCAACTTTAACAAAACACTTCTGATAGTAAGTGTCACACCATTGCAAATAAAGGTGACCTATGCTGGCAAGACCTTTGTTGATGGAAAACTGAACCACAAAGTGGACAGTGAACTTACAACATGGAATGTCCAAGAGAATGGCCAAGTTGATTTGCTCCTGACTAAATCTGAGAGCATGCTGTGGGACAACCTGGTGGAGGGGGGAGATCCTAATGGTGAGCAAATTATGGATGCTAGCTTAGTGGAGGAGGCCCACAGACGACTGGCACATCTGTGCGCTGAAACTGAAGTAATGGCTGACTCTGCTGTACCTGGCTTATCTACCCAGGAGCTTGAAGAATGTGATGCTGCATCTGAAGAAGATACAGTTCTAGGTAAACTTTTTTGTAATAAAGTATTAAAGATATATTTTTATAATATTTGTATTTTTCATAAAAGCTCTTGATTATTTCAGTGAGGCTGGATGCAACAAATCACAATGTGACACACAGAGCACCGCTGAGTGTTCACCAATACTTGTTCAGTATCAAAATTGAAACACAAGAAGTGCCAGCCCTAGCACTAAGACATGATGTAGATGCCTGCATCTGGCAACCATATGCACAGCTAGTAAACTCCAACACATGGCCAGTGAAACACCAGGGCTCTCTCAGTGCATTTGGATATGTACAGTCATCAAAACAAAACCGGAAGTTTGTCACATGCCCTCCTAACTTCTCATACAGTGTTGTATGTGAAGCTACCAGACATATATTCATCTATCAAACCAACAGTAACCAAGACAGTCAACTCAGGAAAAGGACTGGAGGCACTATGAGGACCATAAAAATAGGCCAACAACATGTGTTTAACATTGATAAGTATGGAGAAGTATTAGGAATCAATGCCACCAATGAATATTTGTTTATATTAACAGAGAACCATTTGGTAGCTATACAAATACAATAAATAGAATTTCTGAAAGTTTAACTTTGTTATGTATTTAGTTAGTAATCAATACCTAATTATATATATGTATTTTATGACGAATGAATGAAAATATTTTTTACAAGATAAGCTTGACATACACAAACATCACATATCACACAGTCATAACCATTAGTTGTGTATTGAGAAAATGCTTTTTTCAAAATCTTCAGTAATTTATCAGATTTCTAGACTTCTCCTGTAACACTTAAGTTTTCACTTCATCCCCACTATCGCCATCATCCATACTCTCCTCTGATGAATACCCAGTAGTAAATAGGAGATTCTTGGGTTTCTTCTTTCTTGCTGCTTTGATCTCTTTCTCAATCTCCATTTTCTTCTCCTGGGCTACCTTCTCTGTGAGTAGCTGTCTAGGTCTCTTTCTAGAATGTTCTGTGTTTCCATTTGTCTTGCTTTCAGTATTTGCAACAGTATCTGGTTTTCCATTAAGTACTGGTGTAATGTTTTCTATACTAGTGGTACCTACTTGTTCAGTGTTTGTATTGATTTTCTCTTCAATTTCATCTTCTGAAAACAAAATAACAATATTACATTACAATCACTCTGAAATGCTGCTAAGTCTCTTCTAAGATCTATAAATTTTTACAATATCCAAAACTGTTGAAGTAAAGGATAAGGCACAATAGTATGAAAACAATTGAAATAAATTATACTGTGTTAATGTTGTTTTCTATAGAATAACAATATCTGAAGTTCTAGTTCTAGTCCTGCTTATGACATTATTTTCCATTTTTATTTCTACAAAATTGTTTCTTGATCAGATAATATGTTACACTACCTACTGCCACATAGTTTCACCATCTGTTTGGTTCCTTTTGATACTTTTAAGCCAGTAATTCCTGACATTAGTCCATTTCATAAACATTTTCTTCTTTATATTAGAAATATGTATACAAACCTGGTGTGATAATTTCAAAGTTGTAGGCATGATCTTTAAGTACAACAAATACAATTGGGAACTCTACTATGCACTTCCCAGATAGGTTTTCAGCCAAAGATTCTGTTGGATCCAGTTCAAAGAACTTCCTTCCAGAGCCTTTTACTTTCTCAGCTGTAAAACAATTAACAAATCAATAAGATCTTCAGCACAAGGTTAACTATGATTATTTATATGAACCTACATACCTCTAAGTAATATTTTGACCCCACTAAAGCCCACTGCTTTATAGTAGGTTAATGCCTTTGACCCCTCAAAAGGCAAGGCATCTGGGTTCAAATACTTGTCCAAGAGCTCTGACAGTCTCTTGTGTTCTGCACACCTTTCATCAACAAACTTGAGAGGTTCTGACTCAACATTAGGGAACACCCACTCCACTCGCCAGTTGATTACGTTGTTTTTCTTATTGTACCTAGTGGTGTTAACTTTGTGCCTTGAGAAGTTCTGTGCTAAGAATTGTAAGGCTGTACCCCGTTGCCTGGCTGCCATTTTGAGCTTAAATAGATACTGTTGAAAAACAATGAATTATCTGATAAATATTTTTCTTAAACATAACATTAATCTTAATAAAAATTTACTTACAATTGGTAATTCCTTGTCAACCCTAGTATATTTCTTCTTCTCATCTATTTTAACGCCATATACGAATCGTGCGCATTCTTCTAGCAGTCTGTAATCACTCAGCAGGTCTGTGTCCGTGAAATCTTTTATTCTGATAAACTTCGTGCGGTCTCTAATGCCATCACATTCCAGCTCCTTTTTATGTATCCTTACACAGTCCAGGCAACAAGTCTTTACCTCGCACTTGGGGCAAGTGTATTTAGCTTTGTTTTTACCGCATACTTCGCAATCCCCAAGTCTACGAAATAGGTTAGAATTAAAACTACTGTCTAATATTCAACAAAATAGAAATTATCCCTTCTTTTCATACCTGTTTACTTCGTGCTCGTGCTCAGAATCACTGTCTGATGAAGAAGACATAATTTATGCCAATATTGTCTTTTTTCATAAAATCTTACTACGTAAAATAAAGTTTGTTCTTTAAAGTAAACAACCAATGTGTCAAAACCATTGAGATAGAAAATATATAGAGGCGCCGTGTTACTATAGAAGTATACATGCTTATACAAATATGAGGGAAATATGAAACAAACTATGAAATATCATTTTTTCTCACTCTTTCTAAGGCAATAATTGTATTAGACAAAAGAGACAACAATATTTAAGTTGTTGCTTAATATGAAAACAAATCATTTTGACATTAGCAAAGTTGTAGGTAAGTGCCATGTCCGCCATCTTAAGCGCTCAGAGTACCTGAGTTTCATGGTAGTTGTCCTGTCAAACGGTTGTTTATGTTTTAAATTATTGCGGTTTTTCAGTAAATTACAAAGAACCATTTTTTTAAACTTCAAATATATATAGTGAAACAAAAAAACAATATGCCTGTGTGTTGTATTGTGCAGTGTGGTACAAAAAAGAACGAAAATCAACCTCAATTGTCTTTGTATAGGTTAGTAAACAGTTTTCATCAAATATTACTTAGAATAATCCACATAGATAGAAAAAAATGTCACGGATACTTTAATCTATTGCCAAAGTATATATATTTACTTTTATTTCTGTCTATGAGACAGTTTTAGTAAAAAACTGTTGTTTACAATAATATGTCAATATGGCGTAGTTACGTACCATTTCACAAAAGTATCGATATAATCTCCCATTTTAAATTCAACATATATTATACTAAATAATCTATTTTAACAATGGATGTTTCCGCAGTTTTGTGTAACGCTAAAGTAAGACGTCAGTATTTTGGTATTGGTTTTAGTTACATAAGTAGAAGTTCAAATTATCATGTTTTATAATTATACGGGCGCGATTGACAGAGCGGCGTTGGCGACGATCCCAGTGCGACCACCAAGCGTAATAATAAAAAGTGAGATACATACAATAAGATTGACTTCACTACATATCTATTTTGTACTAACGTAGTTTCGAAGATATCATCGCTTAATCAGACGCGCCGAAATTGTGCGCGAGCACTTCACAAATACCCACAGGTTTTCCACATATATAAAGATAAACATTTAATAAACACTATCTTTTTCTATTTCACCATTCCATTAAACGCTGTTCATAAACACAGTCCTATTTTTTTAAAAGACGCTTTACCTAGAATTATATGAATACAAATTCGACTTGAGAAAATCATTAGCCAATCAAGAGACCAAGTTAACCCCGGGTTCCGGGTTCTAGCTAGGCCGACGGCAAAGTAGGAACAGGAGTTGATTTTAGTCAGTAACGGTCTGTCCCGAAAAAGGCCGGAGATGACATTAGATGATTTCCCATAAAAAATACCGTTAATCAGCTGGCTAATCCCTAAAACTATACCTACGTAGAACTTTTACTCAAATTGTATCGATACTCGTTAAATACTTAGTCGGCACAACCCTAGCAACGGCAGCCATCTTATGCGACATTTTGGATTGTAGGTAGGCACCTTCTTTTCGTAGGTATTTCAAGTCCATATATTTCCTATGTCAATGGTCAAAACCACAGGTCAAAACAAGAATATTATATAGAACACTGGATGTTGCCCCTACAAGAAATTATTGAATCCAAGTTTATTCACCTTTCGTATGTTTTTTATCTCGCTCACACTTGAATAAAATGTTGCCATAATAAAATGACTTTTTACCTTGGTAACTGATCATAAATATATGACCAAAAGAGAGGCACACATATTTTATGTTTATTTTGAAATCCAAATATCAGCCTTAAAAATTTAAACAATTTAAAAGTTATTCATAGTTTATTCAGGCTATTTTAAAGTTGTTTTTTTATTAAAATTATTTTTAAGTTTACCCACTTTTAAACTTTTAACGTGGAGTTCAAAACTTGTAACACTGTTGGGGTAGTATTATCCAAAATGGCTACTCTGTCAATTACTTTTCGACTACTCGAAGTGTTTGACTGAAGTATTTCGAGGATTTGTGAATTAATTTAAAGTGCCTTATTATGTATTGCGTAGTCAAAGATTGTACAAGTGTATGGAACCCAACATGAAATGTCATCTTTCACAGGTAAGTCCAGAAATACCATATTTTAAGTTATACATTAACGTTACCTATTTTATGCCAATATTTAAAAAATCTGTAAATATTTACGTTCGAAACGGTGTCACAAACATTTATCTAGTAATCTTTGTCATCGTTTAGAAATTTATATGTGTAAATCGTATTTAATTATTAAAAAACAGGTACGTTTAGTCTTAGACGTCAAAATTGTATGTTTGTAAACAAAGAGCTAAAGAGTGACCATATTTTTTAAGTTAGGTAGATACTTTTTGGTTTGTGGAATGGTTGAATTTTATGTAGGCCTCGTTGCTCTTATAATGAGACTAACGTATTATATCTGAGGGTAAAACAGAAAGGTCTTCAAATTTTAATAATTAAAAGAGTGTTGAAACTAGGGTTAGAGAGGTCCTGCTATTTTGCTCTAATTACAGTAAATTAAAACAGTCAACTTGGTTAATATACAATTAATTTTATGTTTCAGTTTTCCCAAGGACTCGGAAACAAGGCAGAAATGGTGGTCTGTTATACCATTAAAAGGGAAGTTTTATGAATCAGCAAAGATTTGTAGCTTACACTTTAAGCCGGAGAATTATGATCCATTAAGACCAAAAAGGCTTTTAAATAGTGCTGTTCCGGTTGATTCTGTACAATTATGCTCCTGTGGTAATAACGTTATGGTAAGCATTTTTTACATTTCACAATGTGCTGCTTACCCATCCAACAATCATGTTGAGAATAATATTTCAAATTACAGGCATGTAAAACGCCATTCAAATGCTTGGTTTCACCTAATGCAATGATACCGACAGAAACTGATACTTGTTCCAGTGTCAGGAAAAGAACACAGCTGTTGCGAAAAGGAACACATCATACAAAATGAAAATATTGTAAGTATGTTTTTATCCTTTTCAAAATTTGCTGCTTACATACCTAGCAATCATGTTAACAATAATATTTCAAATTACAGGCAAGTACAACGCCATTCAAGTGCTCGGCTTCATCAAATGAAACAATACCAACGCACAACACACACAGTGAAAATATTGTAAGTATTCATTTTATTGTGTAGTATTAGCTTGTACTTATGGCATAGATAGAAGTCAAACCAAACCTTCAACATCCAGATTAGGTTTTTTTTGGTTTTTTCACGATGTAGTAAGCTCATGATAGACATTGAGACCTTTTGATCATCATAGTTGTTACTGATTATAATCTTTGTTCCACAGGTAGTTGATGAAAATGAACCGCCAGCGAAACGACGCCGCTTAAAAGATTTTAATGTTCAATGTAAAATAAAGTCACTCGGGAAAAGTGTTTGGAAAAAACGAAAATAAATTACAACAAAAAGTTGCGTGAAATGAACAAAAAATAAAAGATTTGAAGTCGTTAGTAAACATTGTTCGTAATTACAGAATATAACAGAATTCATAGTTCATAAAATTTTACAAAAAAACACTTGTAACTTTTGTCATCAATTATTAACTACCGAAAATGAAAAAAAAATATGATCATGATTATTTTGTTAATATTAATAGACATTCTGCGTTTACGACCTTTGTAAATAGGGGTAAATTATGTTTCGCATCTGATGCAGCGTTCGAGGTAGTGCGCTACTCAGATAGTTTGTTTAAGCACTCGGTATCCAAAGGTATACTGTACAATCGAAATTAGTGTTAGCGGTCCTGGAAAAATTTTATCCATTGTTGCAGGAATTATTTGTGCCTAAACATCCAATCACTGATACTTGTATGGATTTACACGAAACTTTTTTTTTTTTATGTAATCGGTCGGCAAACGAGCAGACGGATTACCTGATGGTAAGCAATCAGCGCCGCCCAGGGACACCCGCAACGGAGGAGTTACGAGTGCGTTGCCGACCTTTTAGGGATTTGGGATTTGGAGATTTAGGGATTGAGGGAGGGAAAGGATTGGGCCTCCGGTAACCTCATTCACACGGCGAAACACAACGCTGTGGTTGTTTCACGCTGGTTTTCTGTGAGGCCGTGGTATCACTCCGGTCGAGCCGACCCATTCGTGCCGAAGCATGGCTCTCCCACACTTAAAAATAATAAAATGTTTTTCGAAACTGAAATAATAAAATATATTTCGAATAGTGTTTTTAAAATAAGAATTCATTCTTATCTGAAAACTTATACTCAAAAGCTTTTGGGTGATATTCGCACTAAAAGGCAAAAATTGCATAAAACTGTTTTATTTTCACAAGTGTGATATAACTTGTGATTTTTATTAATAAAAATGATTTTGCACTGTAATGACTTTTTTTAAATATCTAGCCCGCTAGCTAGCCCGTGCCTATGGTGGCTGAAAATCGAGATCGGGATCCTATCGTCAACACACATGATCTTACATTAGTATAGACATTTGTTGTTATTTCAATGAAAAGGACTTGATACTAGGCTTTATGATTTGGAATAAAAACGAGGACTTGTAACTGTTTAAGGAAATTTATTGAATGGTTGATATCGTGTGAGAAGTGATATGGAAGACAGAGGAGTTAGCGATAGCGTGACGAGTGACAGGACAGAATGGAAGAAAAAAACATATTGCACCGACCCCAAATAAAACGGGACAAGGGCAGGAAGATGATGATGGTTGATATCGTGGACTGGTAAGGACTTATGAAATCAAATAGGTATTGGCTTTTAGCTGCAAGTATTTTTTAAGCTTAAATTGTAACTTATCAGCTTGACTTGTTTTCAAGGGGTGTTTTTGAAAGAATACCCATCATTATAATTCTTATTGTTTACATACGTAGTATATCTTTTTAACCCTTTCAGACCTGAATTATTATTTTTTCTCTAATCGATTTAAAAAAAATCCTGTAACTAGTCTATGATATGCGTACCTAAGGAAAAATAAATAAAAAAATCCTGGTTAGCAGTTTTCCATGAAAAACAGGGTTTTCTATTTGTGTACAAGTGTACACATCCGTCCTATGTAATATTAATATTAGCCTGTATGGATGTTGATATGAAATGATAAAAACCTTTATTTTGTAATTTTTTATTTGGAAATATAAAGTAAATTTATAAAAATACGAAATATTATGTAATTCTCTATAATAAAACAAAAAAAAAACTTAGGTTTCTTCTTTGGGTGGGTTGAATAATTGCACATAAATCAAAGTCTCAATTATAAAATCAAATGGTACCATAACACGGTTATGTATGGAATTCTAAGAAGCAATTTTTATCCTTACTTAGGCATAAATGAACTTTGCATTTTATGCATTTGATCCGGCTTCTACCCTTACATCCTACCATTTTACAACGTGTTCCAAGACCTTCGTCGTGTGTAGGGAAATGCCCAAAACCATCTCGAGCTATTTCTGTTACTGGGCGTATCTCTCCTGGTCTTCTAGGTATAACCTGGGGAGTTGGGCTACTGCCACTTGGACGGCCTCTTTTATTTATACATATTTTGTTCTGCATCACCAGGCATTCAGCCACCTGACGCCGAAACTGAAGCAATGTGAGCTGTTTGTTTTTTTGTATGCCTAGCAAGTCATTGTCAATTTGGTATTCCCTATATGCTTGAACGACGGCTAAATCGGATGCATGAAATATCATACGGAGAGTCCATTTTTTTGATTTTATAAATGTTCTGTAGTAGCTCATGAGCTGATCTAATAAGTCTACTCCTCCCATCGCATGATTGTACTTCCTAACAACTTCAGGACGTTCGACTTCAATAAATTGTTTATCTTTTTTACACCATCTCCTTACTATGTCTTTTTCACCGATTCCAACAAAATTAGAAGCTAGATGTGTGATTTTGTTATCCAACCATTTTACCACAGTTACGTCTTCGTCATAGCTGGTCACCTCTTGGGCAAAGCCTCTAGGTTTTTTGCTCATTTCTCTGTCGCTAAGTAACGAGGGGCTTGCAAATCTATTGATACGAGCGGTGCATGCAGCCATTATTCCCCTTTGTTTCAGAATTTGTAGCAGATGATATGAAGAAAAGTAATTGTCGAAGTATAGTTCGTGACTCTTGCTTTCTCCAATTCTCTTTGTAAGATGAAGGACAACTGATGCACCGTATCCAATTTTTTTTGTCAAATTGTTATCTAATTCTGGACTAGAGCTCTGATAAAGTATAAAATCGAAAGCTTGACCATGTTTACCACATAAAAAGAATATTTTTAGACCCCATGGACAAGGTTTGCCTTTTATATACTGTTTGGCAACATGTTTTCCAGTGAAAGGAACTATCTGTTCATCAACGCAAAGTTCTTTCTCAAGCGGTAACTCTAAACACCTCTTTCTAACAGTATCAAAAATTGGTCGCACTTTGTAAAATGCATCTTTAGAATGTCCTGGTATTTTTGTGTTGTCAACAAGATGTAAAGTATTACGCAGTACAAAAAACCGGTCTCTTGCCATATTTTCCGAGAACAAAGGGATGCTGATATTTGTTTCCCAGTACATTTTCAAACAAGGGTAATGAAATATACTTGTGGCTAAATGTAATCCAAACAAAATCTCTAGTTCTTTTTCAGAAGTAGGCTTAAACCTAGGTCTGTTTGAATGTGTTGCGTATAAGTTAGTCATTTCTGCCATATCCTGAAATAATTGTTTTGGCACATACCTGTAATAATAATCCACTGGCGTTTGAACTCTTGGATCAATTGTTATCGGTGGAAACCAAGGTGATGTAATTGTATTTATTATTTCCCTATGTCTCCACCTTATGTTCTGCTTAGGCGTAACATTCTGTAGAATATTTTCATAGGCGGAAGGAATTTCTACGTCATGGCTAGTGTTTGTATCTGGATGTTGTAATCCGGAGCCAGAAGGCTCCGGATTACTCATTTCCACCCACAATGAGCTAGCTATTTCATCATCATCTGAATCCGGTGGGAGTACTTCTCGTTGGTTTCGGTTGATGACATCTGCACCCAACCGAACAGAGCGCAGCTCCCGTTCAGACGCAACTTCAACTGGTTCTTCATCATCAGAAGATAACAGCAAATCAGAAAGATTTCCGTCTTCTAATGCTCTCAAAACGTCCCGTGGAAACATAATTTGGTACTTTAATATCTGAAAATAGTATATAAAACACAATTTGTAACATAAAAAACAACAAAATTGTTCACTTGAATAACAATTACCTACCTACGAAGAACTTGAACAAATCGGTAATATATCGTATACGCCTGATGTGTACATTTGTGTACAAATATAAAGTTCGTTAAATTTTGAACAAAAATAAACTAAATCTACCAACATATATGTTACATATGGCTACAATAGTATAACCCATCGACTCATAATTTTTCTCTTAAAAATATTTCAATGTTTTCTACTTTTTAGAAATAAAATAATGAGCTTACCTGCACAGTTCAAACTTCGGCCGGCCACTGGTCAAACTTGTCAAAAAAAATGCCAAGGTACGCTAACAGATGGCGTTGGCGGTATCGATTTTGTTAGTTTATTGTGTGAACAAATGTGCACAACCGTTTTGAGTTACAAATATTGCGAAAGGTTACTTAAATTAATTTTTATATTATATGTGTACATTTGTGTACGCCAGGTCTGAAAGGGTTAATTTGTGTTGCTTACCTGCCAAAATATTTGTGTCAAGTTTAATATCTAAAGAAATGATATCTAGATATAGCAGTATTACTGTTAAGTGTTAACGGTTGTGTGTATACGTAAGTACTCTTAAGGGTGTATTAAGATAACATGCGCTGAACACGCACAGCATCCGCGCACGCTTTGTGCTCGCCTTAGACCTAAAACATACGCAAGCGACGTAAAGCGAAGGCATGGGGCCGGCGCAGCGCAGGCGTTGGACAATTCACAAACATGCGGTAAACACTCATTAAAACATCTGTTATTCCAAAATCAAAATCGATCTTCGAGGCACCAACCGTTGTTTCCTTATCAGCACAAGAACACAGTTCAAAGCAAAACCCAACAGTATTTCTACATTTCAAAAATGTTTCTGGCCATGAAATGTTGACAAATATTTAAATATTTTTTATAATTTTTATGTAATGCCAATAAACGTGCTAAGGTACCCTCAACGCATACGGTATGTTGGTGGCATGACGTAGTTTTCTCGATCAACGCAAATGGTGCGTTGGTAGCAACGAATGGGTTAAGGAACATACGACAGACAGACAAACATTTTAGCCATTGTATTTTTAGCATCAATATCGAGTTATCGACTACCAACCCCTGATAGTTATTTTGAAAATATATTTAATGTACAGAATTGAGTTCTCTACAGATTTACAATTATATGTATGTATAGATTACTAAACCAAAACTAATACGATCGAAAACCACACTAAAATAGAAATGTTGAATTTAAACAATCATAAATATGTACAAAATATCCTAAACCTAGTAAAAATAGTTGTCACCCTGATGAAAGAGATGCAAAACATAAATGACGTGTATCAAGGTCATTTTATTAGTCCTCAGTTCTTTTTTCTTGGTGCAACATCCAGTGTACTTTATAATATTCTTGGGTCAAAACAATTGCACGTGGAGTGACCACAGAATATATAAAATGCTAATAGTCAAGTAAAGTCTATGAAAAACTGCATGAGATTCAAATTCAAATTAGTTTATTGTTTGTTACATGTTTACAATTAGATGTTATTTTATAATATTAGTAGCAATGTAACATACCTAGTATAAGGTGTACAATCATTTATGATAATTATTTGAAATTAGGTATTCTAACATAAGTCGCAAAATTTAATTATTACAGTAAAAAATATGTCAAGTCACATTATGCCACGAAATATTTCTAAATTATTACATAAAATTATTAAATCCTAGTCAAACTATTATTGAAACATTTTGTTAAACTTTGATACACAGTGCCTGTTAGTCGGAATATCAGTAACTGTGTATGTATTATTAGTCAAGTTGGGATATTGGTCAAAATACAAACATTGGTCAAATCCTATTAATTAAGTCATCATAACAAAAATAAAATAAAAAAATATTGAAATTCACGAAAATATGTCAGATTACACATAATTAAATGTTTTACATTGAATATTGAACATTTAATCTTCGTCATTAAAAAAATCTTCTATAGTGTAATAGCATTTCTTATGCAAATAACGTTTGAGTTTACTTTTAAACACGTTGAAATGTAAGTCTTGTATGGATTTCGGTATTTTGTTATAAATTTTAGGACCTAAACCCTTTTTTTCTAGGTCCATGACATAAACATATTATGCTTTTGTGCAACAATGCAGTTCTGGACGGATGAATGCAAATATTATCTTTACGTCGATTTCTGACATGATATTCGGATAAGCGCGGAGACAAATGTAAGTTGCTTCTAACAAACAATGCAACTTCAAGTATGAATAAAGACGGAAGTGTTAGAATTTTGTGATCAATTGATTATTAGAATTTTGTGATTAATTCAATGGCCAAGTTTTCGTGATTGCAAAATCTTTTTATTTACAGCTAGTTAAATTGTTAGATTTTGAAACAGATGTTTGGAAATAAAATAAAATGTAAACAATAACTTAAAAATCAAAACCATTATGCTTTTCAATCGAGGACAAAAAATACCATGAGAAAAAAACGCAGTCATTTTCTGTCAACTGTCAAGTTGAAGTCAAATTCATAAAAGAAATGTCAATACTGTATTATGTTTGACGTTGGTGATCTAAGTATACAATAATTTTGTATTTTTATATAAGCAAACTGCAATTTTCTATTTCTAATAACAGTTTTAACACAGAGGTTGGTTGAATTTAGTTATGGGCACCGTGGAATTACAAGGTGATGAATGGGACCTGCCCTGTTCAGACGATGAAATATCTAAAACCGGTGTATTTATCGGCAAAAACTGGATGCCAGAGCCAGCTGAACTGGAGGAGCTATATAAGGCTTTGGATAAAACTGGAACTCTACCGCTGGAGTGGAAATGCCCTGGTCGGAGACCGCCTTCGCCGCTACCTGTCAGTAAAGAAAACCAACCAGAAATTCCAGCATCGCCGATAAGAGAAGAGAAGTCAGATTTCGATTTTATGGATGAAGTGAGTTCGCTACGATTACGAGTACGTAGTAAAGGAGAAGATACTTTGAGAGGTTCAGCTAAGAAGAAGACAACATCATTCGATGGCATTCTCTCTAATATGATAAGGCATAAGAGGATAGAACAAATGGAGAAGCAAGCCAACACTTCCCCATCCACACCATCATCCAGTGGCAGTTGATTAGAGGATACTAGTGACACTAGTGACTAATTTTGAGCCAAGTGACTGAAAGTGGCATTGAATGGATATAAATGCAAAAGACCTTCTTACAATCAAAATATAATTATTACCAGCCATAATATAGAACTCAGCACATTTCCAATAAATGTAATAGTTTACATATTATATGAAACTAGTGTTTGTTCAAACAGACTTAAATGAGATTTTCAAATAAATCTCAAATATTGTCGAAAGTCAGTCAAGATAAAGGTGTAATAATAATACTAAATTAAAATGATTGAATTTGATTAGTTTATTATTTACAAACTGGTTTACTAAATGTCTATGCTGTTAATAATGCAGATTCAGGTTTAATTAGCTGTTCATTTTCATCCAGTATTTCTTGGCATGTGTTCATATTGTCAGTTATATGTTCTAATGTCCAGTGTTTTCTCAGTAAAGCGAGGTTCACATCAAATTTAGCTTGTCTAATGCACTGCACCCCAGTGCAATAAGCTGCAGTCTTCAGCTGAACCCCCAGGTCATGGACTAGTGTCCACAGATATTTGTCATACTCATTGACTGACTGAATTTCTGGAACAAAATGTGAGTAGGTAAAGAGAGTTTTGTTATTAGGAATAGTTTCTATCTGACCTCTAATTTTTATAAAATAGTGTTATACATACACAGAGATGTCAATTTTAAATTGTACAAATTAATGTCCATAATACTGTCCTATGATTTAATTTTAGTCATTAATTTTACTATTCACATACCTAATGTGAAATTAGGAGAATCAAAGTAGACACACTTGATACCATAGAGAACTGGTAGCTTGTTGTCTGCTGGTCTGATCAAACCTTTAGATGCTAACTCATATGTAGACTGTAAATCCATCTGGAGCCCTGATTGCCTGCAATAACACAGTAGATAATTTAAAATTTGGCATTGTTTTTGTTAGAACACACTTGTTTTTCAGGATAGTAATGTATACATATTTGTTTGTGATGTCAATAACTTACTCAAACATGGTCTTCTGATGGGCAGCCTGCATGTTGGCAACTACCTTATCAATCTTTTCTCTGGTGACATGTTTAAAAGTGGCCCTCTCCACTGTCTTGCCATTCCAAAAGTATGTGTCTGTAGCTTTGCCAAGCTGGCCATGGACCTTGTAAGCTCTAGTTGGTTGTCCAGACTTAATTTTGTATGCCAGTTTTGTTCCTTCATTGACTCCTATTACTGAAGGGAATTAGTATTTTGTTTTATTCGATAAGATAGATAAAGGCAACATATAATAACCGTAAGGTCTGTTATAAAAGAGTCACATTTTATTCATTCATTTAGTTCAAAATACAATTTACCGAGAAATGAGCTTACATAGTACACCACTGGTAAATAAACCAAGATGTGATGCCCAAGTGCACTTGAAGTCTTCAATGATATATCTCGGGCCGCAGACACGAGGATCATCTGCATAGTTAGGTACTACTTTCACCTTCATGGGTTCGTTTGTTGATCCTATGATCTCTACCCTCTGTTCTAATGGTCTGTCAGGTAAGGCATTTAAATCTGTAAAAAGTATTAAAAATATTGATAAGTTTTCTAAATATTCTAAAGACGTAAGAAGTAAGTTTTCTAAAGTTCTTTAAAAATCTCATAAAATGATTTATTTATTTATATTTTTCTAATTCCACTTAATGTTTTATTGTTTATATTAGGACTTCTTCAATTTGAAATATAAATATAACCTCTGCATAGATTGGTTTTCACTATATGAAGCACTTGTTTCACAGGGACACATGGTGGCTTATATACACATATAAGACCATTTAAGGTTTTATAGGCTGATGCTGCAGTTTTAAACTTTACCATGGCAGTTTGTTTACATTCGAATTTCTTTCACAGGGAAGAAAAGAATGAAGCAGACAAAGAGCTGTTCTGTCATTGTCTATTTGACATTTTAAATAAATAATTGTCAACAGTGTCAAAAAATAGTTAAAATTATCGTTTCGTTCATAGAAGATTAGTAACAAAAGAAAAAATATAAATCCTTGTTATAAAATTTGTAATTGTAACAAAATATTGCAGGAGCATATTATTGATATAAATTACAGACAATATTACAGCATAATTCGTTTCTCTAAATGTTGATAAAACACTGGATATATAAGATATCCAGTGTTTTATCAACATCAGACAACAGATTTGGCTCGATATGCCACAAATAATTATTATGTTAAATCACTTTCTTTTCATATTTTTTACAATTTTGATCAGTAAAACGACTATATAAACGGATTTGAAAGAAAATATCAAACAGTGATGATGACGTCAGGTTGATATTTGGATTTGTTTGACAGTCTGTGGTGTAGTGTCGTGCAATGGCCGATTGATGGAGAACAGTCCGTTGGCTATTCATCGGGAAAGCCTACATCCGTGTACAGTTCGGTTGTGTTTCTTCCAATAAAGTATCTTCCATAATATTTAGCAACCGATAGTGCAAGATTTGTGATAATACTCAAAGCTTTTGGACAGTGAAATTTAACATTTGTGTAGGTGTTCACATACCATCAAACTCAGTCGGTGTTAATTCGTGTGAAACTTGTTTTTGGTAAGTAAAACTCATCGATGGAGTTTAGTTTGTATTGATATTATCGTGTGTTGGTTGTAGTGGTTGCGAAGCAGTGGTTAGTCGTGTAATTGAAGCGTGTCAGTGCCAGGTTGTCGCCCGTGCTAGGGAATGTACTAGCATTGTGCCAATTTATTGCGTGTGTCGTTACTGTTTACTTCCTAATTCATTTGAGCTTTCTGTTTGCTTAGCGTTGAATTGGAAAGTATTCGTAAGAATCATTAAAATTGCAATATTAAGCAATAACACTTTTTATTATACATAATATAAATAAAAAAAAAACATTAAAATATTTTGAAGAAAGTAATAACATTAAGGTCTTATACAGCAACTCAGGTCAATTGGTCCTCTTAGCACCATCCCTTGGAATATGCGCTTCTCTAAAATTTATGAAGTTAAAAAATATTATAAGCAAGTCTAGTCTAGTCAACTTGTTGATCCATCTCTATGAATGAGGGAAATCACCCATTTAGGTCATAAAATTAAATTAAGATAACATATAAGTTATTCTTAAAGTATTTTCAGAACAGTGGAATGAGAGCAATAATTCCTAACATCCCCCTTTGTTAGCTGTAAGCCTAAATCTCACTTGCATACTAACATACGGTAATAACAAACTGGCTATGGGATTATTTGTTCATACATAACTAGTAAAATACACAATTTTATATCAACTAATATTAATAGTAAAAGATTTATTTAAAAAAAAATTGGATATTAGCTAAAGGCAAGTTAGGGTTGCAATTTTATAACGGAATATGTATAGAGTTACCATGTTATTAATTAAATGTAGCAGTCAAGTTGTTTGACCATAAATATTATTAACTACTTGCTACTCACACTAACTTTGTGCTACTCACATTGTCTTTATATCTTTGTTATCCCCGGGCTAGGTGTGACATGGATGTGACTTACTGTATGTTTTATAAATACACAACAGGGAAGAAAGTGACATAAAAAACAAAAAACTTATGTTGTCAAATTAAATATAGAAAATAATCTTCAGATTCTATCAATAAATCTTATTAGAATCAGTTTGGATTACAATTCCTAATAGGTTGAAAAGTACATTAAGATATTTATCTTAGCTTGACTATGTCAATTACTATTAACTGGCTGTGGTCCCTCACTAATTAGGGCTGATTTCTCAATGGTTAGATAAAAGTTACCTGGGGAATAATTATGATGCTATTGTATCAGAATGTTTGTATAAGACAGTGACAGCAACAATTTTCTTCCTAAGATAACATTAATTTTGGGAGTGTGGGAGAGCCATGCTTCGGCACGAATGGGTCGGCTCGACCGGAGTGATACCAGGGTCTCACAGAAAACCAGCGTGAAACAACCACAGCATTGTGTTTCGCCGTGTGAGTGAGGTTACCGGAGGCCCAATCCTTCCCCTTCCCGGACCCTTCCCCAATCCCTAAATCTCCAAATCCCTAATCCCTAAAAGGTCGGCAACGCACTCGTAACTCCTCCGTTGCGGGTGTCCATGGGCGGCGTTGATTGCTTACCATCAGGTAATCCGTCTGCTCGTATGCCGAATTATTACATAAAAAAAAAATTGACTTGAAAAATCTGCCAAAAAAAAGTGTTGGTGGCATCAGAATCTCTTATAGTTGGTTCACTTTATCTTTCATATTTTTGTAGTTTATTGATATAGCCATCTGTGCTTTTAGAATAATTAAAAAGCTCAATAGCAATCAAGATTATAAAATTGGTGGAAATTGTCTACAATGTAAACATGTTGTTTGTCATAAGACAATAGAGCTGAGTGATGTCCATTTTATAAAACTTCTGTACTGACAATATAAAAGTATGAATATAAAATCATTTGTATTTCCATAGTAAAGTGTCTCAACTCTGTATCTAATAATTTATTAATTAATATTATATATTATGTATTTTATCAATTCTCTTAATTTACAAAATATCAACATTTTATTTGTGTTAGCTCAGCTGAGCTGAAATGAACACCTTGCTAGACGCGTGCGCCTCCTACCGTGACATCACGCGCCGAACCCCGCCCCCCTCGCTGTATAATGTTTCTAAAGATGCAGCTATGCTCAAACTCAAGTCTAGCCAAATTTTGTGTGCAACATGTATTTCAAATAATTAGGTACATGCTTTCAAGGTCACATCGCAACCTTAACCATAAAAGCTTAAAGTATTCATTATGGAATCAGGATATTGTTTAATACTCCAGAATTCGGCTGAAATTAATATCGCGTGTACGAAACACATTTTTCTGCCAAATAGGCTGTACTTGCCAAAATGCTTGTTGAATTCATAATGAAGGTAATATACACAAGATGTCCTCAGACACTGTCTGTCTGACCTGAAGTTCATATTTGTTTCAAGTCTAATAGCTGAAAATAAATATATGCTGAATGTTAATCATCAGGGATAAAACACTCCCTTAGAACATCAAGGTGTCTCTGAAACGATTAAGTGTGGAAGAGTCATTCTTCGGCACGATTGGGTCGGCTCCAGTACCAAATATTATGATACCACGGCCTTACTGAATACGGGCGTCAAACAACCACAGCGATTTGTTTTGTCGTGTGAGTCTCCGGTAACCTCTATCGGAGACTTGCATCTCTTTCATTCCTCAAACCCTTAACTCCGAATGGCCCGCAAAGTTCTTTCAACTCCTCTGATGTTCGGGAGCCCATGGGCGATTCATTTCCATCAGATGATCCTAACCTCGTTAACTGTATTCTATAAAAACAACGTAGGATGTAAAGTATGTAACAAGGTAGGTATGGGGTCTTCCGATTACCGACCAACTAAGAACCTTGGTGGTTAATGATTGGTATCCGCACTTCATGCTAACTACATAATACCATAAGCACGCTGTACTGTTTTAATCGGAATATTCGATTGCTAAGCTGTAACTATCCTACTTGATATTCAACTAAGTCACTCCATTAACTGTTATAAAAACAAAGTACGTATCTACAAGGCTGTAAAAATTAGTTCTCTTGTCTCGTCTTAACACTCGAGATTGGAATTCTTCGACATGTCCACTGTAATTAGCGTCTTTATCTATGTACCTACTCGAAATTTCAACTTAGGATAATTAGATTGCTTATCGTTTTGAAGTAAATTCCGGGTGGTTTTGGTCAATGTCAAGTTAATAAAAATTGCAATGACTACTCGAAAGCTTCTTCGTGTCGGCATAATTTTCAAATAAATAACAAACACAATATTAATTAGTATGTTATTGAGCTTCGGAAAATGAAAGGTCAAATTACCACAAATGAAGTGTTAATAATTATATGATTAACAGTTAACTGCGATAGAAATACCAAACTGGAGCTCGGTTGAAGGCATTGAGCGTTCTTCACTTTGTCAAGCATTTTCTAATAACCGGTTTATTGCTGACGCGGTATTGCGGCTCTGGAGTCGGCAGCCGGCTGCTCAAACGTGAATCTATAATTCTATACCTATAATTTATTAAACTTGTAACATGCAGTGCATTCATAGGCAAATGTTTTACTTAACACTGTGATATCGTAATCAAAAACTTCGGGACACCGGGCGTTTCGTGCCTGCCAACATTTTATGGTCATGACAGTGAAGCTGTAATTTCTGTCCATGTGAGATCAAAGAATATTTGATTTAGCTTTTTTTAGCACCAGAACTGACATTAAATAGAAATCAGATAGAAAGGTAAAATTGACATATAAAATCAAGATCTGAAAACCATTTTAACTTTTCAACATTTCAAGTCGTCTAACCTTCCCCACAAATCCTTATCCCCTCGATTTGTAATGGCACTTAGGGGAGCTTTAAAACAAGTCGATCTCGATTCAGTGTTCCCACTCAAGTTTCTCGCTGTCGGTTACACGTCACTGGACACAGCATTCGCCTTCTTTATCCAGTACGACACTCGCTGTCTTAAGTGGCTAAAATCGCTCTCAAATCAACGGCCATCTCGAAGGTCGCCAACGCGTACGGGGAAAACGGCAAACCAAGGTCGCCATGTTTCGAAATTCAAGGCTGCTGATGGACCGCCAGCTCTGCGTATCTGTCATACAAATCAATCTAGAGGTTGTGATACGATTCTGTAATTGCTCATTTTGCAACTTGTCTAACAAAAGCTTGTGTCAATTACGGTCATTTTGTATGCTATTCAACTCTATTTAATAAAACAATAAGTAAAATTATTCCTTTTTGCCGTAGACGACCTTCATAATTTTCTGACAAAAGCGAACGCCGATGAAAAACCTCATTCGTTACGTTCAAACTCTTAATGCTTCCTTGTAATTTGTTATTGAGATGGTAGTGTAGTAGCGACCATGATGCTTGTTCTATGACTTTCCACATCACATCATTAAATTGAGTATGATCTCCATTGCCATTTTGATTGCTTCCCCGTCTCCAATATTACGTTAACGAGCCGCGATTGTCTGTTTATTGGGTCTCATCAAATGCCTCCACTTACGCGTGCCAGTGTGGCTCCACATGTTTACTTGATAGCATTTATTTGTCTACAAAATGACCTTCATCGAAGCTTAAATTCAAATACATAAAAACATCTGTTGTTTTTATGATAGTGGCTAAAAATCTAATTATAAAATGTATGGTGTAAGATCATAGTTGAGGATCGGTTTTTCAGACTTCTGGACCATAAAGATCTATAGGTGGATGAATGTGACATTTATACACGTAACAGTAATACTTTTTACACAGAATATTCTCAGCAGTGGCGTTTGCGACGATTGCGCGAAACAATACGTATAGTACCGATGCTATGTATGTATTTCTCGGTCTGAGTGGAGCGGTCACGTTGTTATAACGACTTTTTGTATAATTGCTCGTGGCTGGGAGCGTAATGTTAACAACTGTATTGTATTAGCAGACGAAATGTGATGTTTATTGCTTCAACTAAGAGCATAAAAACGTTTGAAACTTACTTAAATTATATTATAGAGTGCGATTTGTAACATCGAGATCCAAAATGACATCATTTACAC